TTAAATTCTAATGAATTATGTAAATCATTGAAAGCTATGAAATGTTTTTTTATATTTAGCTACGAATTCCAGTGTTAAGCATGTTGTAACGAATGTGAAAGTCAGTGTACTCAGTATTCTAGTAGACTCTGCGTTGGTGACTCACTGTCAATATTTACATAAACATTTCACATCCCTAGTTAGAAACACAAGGTTAAACGAGATATTAAGTTTCAATATTTGTCACAAAATATTCTTGTTAACTTGTGCGTTTAGCATATGAATTTATTATTGATTTCTTAATGAAATATAAAATGAATTTACTCGTTTGAAAATAAACATAAAGAACTATCAATAAATAATTAAATAAAATACAAAGATTAGATTTCGTTATGGCGTAATTTTTTTTCTTAGATGAATATTAGATACTTCCATGTGAACTATACTGTTTATTAATTCTGAAAGTAGTATGAATACATGTTAATAAAATGGCTAATGAGGGAATTGTTTTAATCGATCAATTGTTTTCTAACAGAGGAAAAAACGTATAGATTATAATTTATCGATAAGGCAGATTTTGAATACGAGAATGAGAAATACTCTTAGGTCTTCAGATGTTGTCTTTCTAGACTAATAAACATTCTGATAAAGTCACTAAAATGCGTCAATATGAACAAAAAAAGCGCAATAGTAATGAAGAGATATTTTGCTCTTAGTTCAAGTAAGATTTAAATGACTCATGAAGATCACTCATCCATCGGAATCAGAAATACTAGATCGGTACAGTTAGGCATCTAGATTTGAATACAAAAAAGAATTTTATTGGAACATATACAGCTTAAACCAACACTTAATCAAGATAAACTACCTTCACAATAAATCTACACTCAAACTAATCTGTTAGATATTGTAGCACATTATAATCTTGCTCTATGTTTCTACATAACGACATATATATCTTTTGTTTTCTAGATCTTTATCTTGTATCGAATCATTTAAAATTAGTCAAATCCAATGAAATTGATTATATGAAAAAATTAATTCATGTTAAATATTTGTGTTTAATCCAAATGAACGTGTTATTAAACTTGATTCAATGCCATCTTCAACATCGAAACAAAGTGGTTTAAATAAAAATTTAAAAGATATTATTGATAAAATATTTGTTAGCCAAAGTCCAATATTATTTACACAAATATATGAAGAAATATATTCAATAACAATACCTGAAGATAAGGAATTTTATCGTCAACGTTTTCTTTATACTCTTGAAAGAAAATATAATCAATTTTTATCATCACGACATTTACATCGTTGTATGACACTTGTTATAGCAAATCATGTTGTACAACAACCAAATCCTAAAATAATCTTAATTGATGATGTTGAAAATTTAATACGTCAACTTTTAACATTTATTAAAGTAGCATGTGTTGAATATCTTGACACATGTTTAATTTATTAAAATAAAAAAATACAACAAAAATTTCATCAATCTGTTGATGAGAAAAGCTGTTTATGTAGTTGCTGAAATTGAAGAAAATATAACATTATATATTAATTTGAAACATATCGAACAACCATATTTTGCATTATCATTAGCACATACATTAAGCCCATATTTACATTTATCAGAACTACAATTACTAAAAATTAAACAAATATCAAAATTATTAAATTTAGTTAATGTTAATGATGAAGAACATATGTTATCTATACTTAAATTACGATATATACCATCATCAAATCCAACAACAAATGCAGAATTTAAGATAAAGAAAAAAATTTCTTATAATTATGTCTTATTGCTGCTTTAATTCTTCTTCTTTAATGTTTCTAATTAGTTTATGTATCACGACATCTTGCTTTTTTGTTACATATATCATAATCGGTGACATTCTGTGTTTTCCTTGAAAAATGATTGAAATATCATGCAAACATTGTTATTGATTAAAGATAGATCAAATTTTTTCTGTTTAATACATTAGTCATATTGACTTCAGTAAAATAGATAGGGAAAAAAGCAACATACGAGTTTGCTTGATTCTGATAACTGGAAGGATAAGCTACAAAAACATATAAGTTTCAATTCTTTTAGAGGTGAAATTTATTAGATAAGAGAACTTGAAATTCGTTAAGATATCATTCTTTTTTTGCATTTGAGACTGGTACTTAACAGACTTCAATCAGACAAAGTACAATTTGAATCAAAACCAATGACATACTTGGAATCATCATAAAAAATTGAGTCGATCGGTGTGTATTTCGAAGTATTGAATCGAAATTTTTTTTTCTCGCAAAACTTAGTCTTCAGATATCTTTCAGAGCTCATTTAAAAAAAGTGAATTTAATTATTATACCTTTTTTATTGTTTAGGTTGTAGATGTGAATGTGTGTGGTGTGGACAACAATATCAACACCCAAACCATAATTATGGCTTTAGAGTTCAGAATCAGAATAAAAAACTTCAAAAATATTAAACAAAATAAAAATGTACATGTTTTTTTTTCTTGGGCGCTCACTGTATACACTCTATTTCTCTCGTTAGTCTGTGTGCCATCTACCAGCGTCTGACATAGGTCAAAGTTTTGCGACCGAAATCGAGCTAATCTGAGGCGGACTCTGATATCAACCATTTTTTTTTTATGTTTCTTTTGAGAAAATCAATTTTTAAACCCTTTTTTCTTCCTTTTATTTCGTAGTTGAAAACAAAGGATAAATCTCTGACATTCTTTTGTCCTTGATATTTCGCTAATATTCCGCAGCGGAAATAGCATGATTATGCGATAAAATTCTTTCTTGCTTGTTTTTATTTTCTTATGTGTACAACCTGCGATCTTTATATTACCGTTGACGAGACAGCGCACTCGCTATGCATTGTTGTCTGATATCAATAAAGAAAAACCGGTAAAATAGAAGAAAAGGTCATGCAATACATAACTTCTTGTTCTACTAATCTTTTCCACGCTCTCTTGTAGAACTTTTAAATGAAAAAAAACATTCAATATGTCTTTTGTATCGGCAGAATATGCAGACTGCAGACGCATTCCGAAATTCAAAACGCTTTTTCGTGGCCCGATCCAATCCGAGTCGGACTCTGCCATCTACAGTTTTCAATTATAAATCATTTTGTTTTTGCAATTTGATATTAACTTAATAAAAATAACCATTGTAAAATAAAGCTGTGATTTAAAATTGGTCGATGCTTTATTTATTATTCTCTTAATCAGTAACACTGTCTGTTCCGACATAGATTATATACAAAAGAAATAGATTGAAATTTTTACAATAAAAATTTATCAGATTAAATGATATCCCTATCACAGTTGAAACAAGATTGTTTTTTTTTGTCACCTTATTCTAATCCTCGCTACACGGTTAAAGAGAAATTTAAAAAGATAAAAAATAATCGTTATCATAACTTAAGAAAAAAACCAGAATGGAAGACTAACAGAAAAGAAAAAAAACAACAATTTATAATTTTGATCTTAAATGATATTGTTCAATTTGTTTGGCTGTTTTATTAACAATAGAAATCAATTGATTTAAAACTTGTTTTGGCACATAACAATGAACAGGTAAATAAATAACATGTTCAATTAGATATTCAGCATTCGGACATTTATGATGATCATCTATACTAATTGGTATATTATCCGTATCACTTAATTGTTTAGTAATAACATTTAATTGTGTTGTACCACGATATGCATCAATATGATGTTTAGATAAAAGTTGAACAAATAAATCTGGTTTTGAAACAATTATTGGAAATAACCAAAAATTTTTTAATTTACAATTCATACCAATTAATTGTATAGTTGATATTTTTTCTAAATTATTTAAAACATAATTTGCTTTTTCTTTTTGCATTTCTAAATGTTTATAATCATATGTTTGAAAACGATGATAAAGAAAAGCAAGTAATGGTCGACATGGTTGACGACGTAATGAAAGAAATAATTCTTCTCTATTTGGAGTTTTTGAAAATGCACGTAAACGATTAACAACAAAACCCATATGATCTAAATTTAATAAACGTACAATATACATTAATGGTTTTATTACATATGGAATATTTAATAACCAATATAAATAAAAATATTTTTTTACATTTAATGAATATTGTTGAATTTCTTGAATAGGGTCTTTACGATATATATCTAACATTTTTGTATATAAATTATGATCAGATATTTTAGCAAAACCACCACCTAATGATGTACAAAATTTTAAAACACCAAAACTATATAAAATTAAATGAGAACGTGGATGACCCATATAACATGATGGATCATTATTATTTTGTATTCTTATTGGACAATACATTTCGACAGCAGATCGATTTGAACTAAAAAAAATTTCATTCATATTTTTACTTCTAATGTTGGCAACACTCGTTTTATATTACTGAAATTGGAAACTTAAATTTAATAAAAACAAAAAACAGCTTCAATTCTGCAGTTCTTTACTATTCAAGAAAAATATTAAAGATTGTTAGTAAAAGATTGCGTGAGATGTCAAAATAGAAGATCTGTCATCAGAAACTTGAATAACTTCGGAATCGAAAGAAATCTTACGAAACTATTTTCGTCAGCTTTGTAGCCAAGCTCAGGATAAATTGAACTATATCATGTGATGGTAAGCTACTCTCTCAATTTTGTTATTACAAATTGTTCAAGAGTAAGAAGGATTTTTCAAAGATCCTTGATTTCGGTTAGTGAATCCTGGATTATGAAAAAATAGATATAGAGAGAAGTAATTGACTACACTGAGTCTAGTAGTGACATTTTTCTTTCAGTTTCAAAACGATCCACAACTATTGCATCCAGACTTTTTTTGCTGCATAATGCCAACAGCCAATATTTTGAAATGAAAAACAATCATAGAATTCGACTCGACATAGTCAACGACTTCTCTCTAGGTCTATTTTTACATAATCTGAGGCCCACTAGTTCAAATCTGGGATCTTGGAAATATCCTTCTGAATCTTGAACAATTCAATTTTGAAAACCATAATAATGCTAGCAGAAGAGAAGTTATCAAAATTAAACGAATCTGGTTTGACATATTTTTCATGATGACATTGTGAATTAAGTTCTTCATACGGGAAAAAAGCTTATTAGAACAGCCGCTTTGGTGTTGGAATGCGTAACTCACGTATGTTCCTTAGCCTGATTGAACTAATAAACAATACGTAAAGTGAAAAATAGCTGTTTTTAAAGATAATCTGTCTTATTTATTTCTGAGTTTTTCAGAGTTCTAACTTGCTCAATTTGCGTTTTTTATGTGGGTTAAATAAAAAATTGTACTATTTAAAACATTCACAAACGTCTTCCAGCAATTTTGATTTCAAAAAAAGCTTTGAAATATTCTAGAATTTTCTCTAAGTCTAATTCATGTCGTTAATGCTGATTGTCCTAGGCTGCTTAAGTGTGTTATGCGGAGGATGTGGACAGATGCCAAACTTCGACTTAAAACTTACACTTACCATTTTCTTTGAAAATATATGTGAGTTCCATAAAATATTATCTCATAGACTTAGATAAGAAGTGAGATCCAGTATGAAAATGTTTTCGAAACTCATCAAGGTTAGTGTTTTATTCTAGTTTTCTTTTCCAAAAAGATGATTCAAAATTTTATCACGATAAACTCGATCTCTAAAGATTCGACACCCATCCAGTTCCTACACTGTTCAAGATATTATCATATATGTATATTTTTCTATGTACTGTACAAAAAAACAAAAACCTTTTTGCTCCAAGGACTTTTACTATAGCTTTTGTAACCTTGGAAAATCTCGATGGTAACCATTTCTCTGTCTCTCTTATCTTCAAATAAAAATTCTTCTTACTTTTTATCTTCTGATAAACAAGAACAAAATCCAAAAAAACTTTCAGCACAATCTTCAATAAAATAAATTTGTTTTTCATAAGCTAAATCAACTAATTCTGATACATCAACACATCTTCCATATATATGTGCATAAACAATAGCTACTGTTTTAGCTGTAATTAAACGTTTAACATGATTGACATTCATTTCTAATGTATCTAAATTAATATCACATGGTATAACATTTAATTGATGACATTGAACAACTGTTATCATTGATGGAATATTTATTGCAGACATAATTATTTCACTTTGTGCTGGAAATTGATTAGCACGTAAAAATAAATCAAAACCTGTACGAACACATAATAGTGGCAAATAATAATGATTTGAACAATGATTTTTTTTTGACCAATATTGAATTAAATTATTAGTTAAAACTTCACAAGATGAAAGACGCTTTTCATTGCGTATTAAAGAAAATATTGTCCAAAAATCTCGAAATTTTATATCGAGAAATATACTTTTATAACTATCTAAATAATTCGTCATGAGTTCAAATTTTAATATGAGTGGTCTCTAATTTCTTTCCATTACCTTTTTTCGCATTTTTCGTGATATTTATATATGACTCATATTCCTTGGTAATCCTTGTCTGATTGGTAAGTTTTTGCGATCAATTAAACAAATATTTGACTAAATAAAATAAATGTGAACAATGGATTGGATTGTTTATTCATTCTGGCTTTTGTGAAATTTAAACCAAAAGATGGCGCAATATGATTGCAATGACGAAAAAAGAAAAAGAAAGAACGAATCGATCCTTTTAAAAATCGACCTATTTAGATATGCGTATGATTTAGTTTTTATTATGTCTTTTCTTTATGAATTAATAATATGTAGACTGCCGCATAAAGAGTGTTTGTTACTGTGATCAAAAATTCTGTTGAACTTTAAAATAAATTGACGGTTGCTTATGTATGTATGATTTTCTCGAGTTCATCAATTTTCAAGTGAATGACAGTGCTTGCCGATTGCTTGTACAGCAATGATTCATAAATTGTTGTTATTCGAGATGATTAAATGCTAATAACTATTCAATAAATATTGATTCATTTATTAGTGTTGGCATTATTAAGATATATTTATGAGGATAAGAGTACCTGCCAACAAAAAACATCTAGATTTTTGAAATTATTGCCAATATGTTATAAATTCATACATGTAAAGGCACAATGATATATTGATGGTTATACCAAAACTATACAAATTTGAAAATGATCGACAACAATTCGAATCAATAATTATTGTAAAGAAAACACGAATTTGTCATAAAAAGATTGAATAAAAACAACAGCTAATGATAGCTAATTGTTTATTAATCCTCATTCGTTTTCATTATGATTTGTGTTCAAAAGTGTTTCTTAGAGATCCTTCAAACGTTAGTTGTCTTGGACCAGCTCTGGTATTTCTGAAAAGGTAGCATAGCAAAATACCACCATCAAGAACAAGTAGTATTAAACTCTGTCATAATAATGTGAAATCATATTTGATTATTTTCCTTCAAGAAGACAAGATCAAAATTACGATTAACATGTTTTGGCTATAAGAAGAAAAGATTTGACTGAAATATCTCTACAGGATGCTGATTTCTCAAGGAAATCATATTTTTGAATTTCGATCTAAATCTTTGACTATATCAAGACCTTAACTGAATTAATTTGTGTAAAAAAATTCAGAACTTTTGGATGTGACATCCTGGAAATGTGAATTTTTCGAAATATATGCGTTTGCTTTAGATCCATTAATATTCTATTATGTTGGAATATTAGGAACAAAATCACGTATTTGGGTTACTGCGTTGAAAAATCCAGAAGTTTTTTAAATAAACGAGTTTAGTCAAATCAAAATATGAGTTCATATCTTTTTAGATGTTTTTCTCTTCTATACGTTTTTACTAACAACTAAAAATATGAAACCGAAAAGTATGAATCACTTGGAACGATAAAATAACAGAACTTTTTCATTCATGTAACTGTCGAATGTTGCAACGTTAAACTATTTAGTAGGCTCATGTTGTTTTATTACATGAAGTAGTGGCTTTTATTGAAAACCGTTATTACTGAAAAAGTCAAATAAAGGAATTAGGTCTGAAATTCAGCCCATAGATGAGTCTAATGACCTTTAGAATATTCTGAAAGTTTCAACTGAAAAAAATGTTAATCAGTCGAAACATTGACTTCCTAATAAATAAACTCTTGTCACAGACATGTCATTGATGAAGAAACATTCTGACTAGTTCTCTCGTCAATATTTTATCAATACCTCCACCAATGTCTATTGCTTCACACTTAAGAATATTCTGCACTAAAGATTGTACAGCACCGAAATAATAGATTCAGTAGCAGCATATGCGTCTAGTCACACTCGTTCTAGTTTTCAAGTGTATATTTTCTCGTCATCCTTAGTATAGGCTGTTTGAAGAGGATTATGAAACACGCGCGCTGAAGTTATTTAGAGAGCAACGTGAGATCATTGAAATTCATATTGTCATTTCTCACAATTTTCCACTAAAATTAAATTTTATATCAAACTTTTGCAAAGTCTTAGCAAATAAATCGTTTATTTTCAAAATAACAATCATATTTGAACGTAAACATTTGATTCAGAATATGGGCACAGGAATTTTGCAAAGTGATGCGAGTTCTTCGCCGAAATCTTCAAAATATCGGCACAAGAAAAGTCTGATTTTGCTCGTCAGTCAAAATGTAGATATGAAATTTGATTCCCTATTCAGAAAAAATTGTCAATGAATGACTAGGTTTGTTTATATCATGTACACACAATAGCTTAGAGAATGAAAAATAACAAAACAATTTCACGAAACACGTTATTTGCGTGTTTTACGGTCTTTATCTCATAATGTTCACGGATATATTGATAAAATATTAAGAAACTCATTTATTCTAGGATAGTTCTGTTAGTGATAGTTATTTTTCATGTAAATTTTTCATTAATAAATACTTTTTATTATTGTTTTTGTTTGGATCAAATCATATATAATCTAAGACAGCTATTCTATTGTAATGACATTGAATTTATTATGGATATAAATGAAAGGCTTTTTTTTATTGCTGATCTTATGAAAGAAAAACGTATGAAAAATACCGTTTGATTAGGTAACTATTCTAAAGGTTACAAAATCTATATTAATGGAATTATTTTACTAGTAGGCTTTGTTTTGGTTTTTTACTTCTCTCTTTCTTTCAGTTGTTTGTGCATTTTTTTATGGCAAGCATGGTTGTATCTCTAGGAGAAATGCAAAAATGAAGTCGACCGTGTAAGAAAATACGACCATCGTTTTATATCTATGAATAGTAACTTTCTACCTGAGTGATTGTTCTTTTTTTTGCCAGCGAGTCCTCATGCTTTATAACTATATCATTTGTTTGAATAATGATCAGTATCATCCTTCGTTTTGTATCATTGATCACAACGAATACAGAAAAAAAAAACATATAGATAAATTTATTTCACACCAATAATAGTTTCTTTTCTTTAGAATAAAACTAGTAAGATTATTTTTATAAATTCAATTAGTATCTATATATAGTGTCTGTTTCAGTATATTTATTACTTGCAAAATAATACTTTAACATGTCTCAGATACATGGTGAAACTGAAAGTGATAAATCAAAGAAACATGGTACGTATGTTGATGATATGATATAATTCTATTCATAATTTGTTTTGAATATATAAGTTGACAGTAACTGAGAGAATATTGATTATTGTAATTACAATAAGTTCACTATTTCTAATTGTTGTAGAGGAAAAATCAACGAATAAATATTAAAAACCTAAACTGGAAATGTTTTTAATATCGTAGCATCTATTTTCGTAGCTGTTGCATATTTCAAAGTGAGAATGTGAAGATTAAAAAATAAATTTAAATTCTTTTTTATATAAAATGTTTAGAGTTTATAAGCTGAATGATTCACATTCTTTTTGATGCACTAAAAATCTTGTTTTTGACTTCGAAAACAAAAATCTTCAAAACAAGGAATGTTTTTCTTTAACTCAAAACAAAAAAAGATCGAATATAATTAACCACCTCTCGTTATTTACCTAGCTTTTGTGTCTATGATATTTACTCAAATTATTATATTTTAAATCTTTTTTTATTTTTGTTATTCAATAGGAGAAAACAAAAAGTTTCATAATCGAAAAATAAGATAGCAATCTTAACTTTCGTTTATTTTGTCCATTGAATATCATACAAAACTATATTTCTTTCTTTCTTGTCTTCTTATTTATCGAAAACGTCTAAGTAAGTCGTTGAACATTTTAGCAGAGAAACTATATATATATCCCTAGAAACCTACTTGATCGTATACACTAGCATGACAAATATTTATATAGTCTTATAAACAATATACTTACACGACATGTTCACAATGTTCTTAAAGTCCAAATCATTGATCATGATTAGTGACTAATGTGACGTGCGTCATAGACTCTCAATAACGTGTATTGTTTATTTTTTTTGCTTTCCTTTTAACATAAATTAGGTGAAAATAGACCTCAATAATCTTAAGTTAACGTTTTTTTGCATTTGCTAATTAATTTGGGCTAGATTCGAATAATAGCTTAATTAACCAAGGCTTAAAAAATAAAAAATAAAAGATTGAACATTCGACAATCAAAAATAATACTCACCGACATTATTTGTTACATAAATTAATCGATTTATATACATAAGGAGTATCAGATCATGCTTTATTTTTTATCTGATTCCAAGCGTCTTCTTTTGTTATATGTTTTTTTTGATCAAAACATGGATGGAGTAAATAAATCAAACATAAATTTCATGTTAATATATTAAGAAATGATCTAAAAATTCTCTACAGAACTCAGAAGATAATTATATCAACAGTACCGAACAAGGATGGTTATTCATCTATCTTGGTTTTTTTTCTGTTCTCATATATAAAAAGAAAAGTAAAGAAGGTAGCTAGCAAAAGAAATGAAAATATTGAAATAGAGGAGAAAAAGAAAAAAAGAGAAACAATGATAATTATATTCCGTTGACATTTCAGAAGTTTTTCCGCTTCTGATAACATGCTGAATGTCGACAACATGATTAATACTTGTATGTTATATGTTGTTCTTTTTCGAAAAAAAAAGGATTTGATCATTAAATGGTTATAGATTTAAATTAAACAACTTTTATTATTTTGAAATTTCGTTTATCTCTCTTTCATAGGCGGACTCACTCGGCGTCATTCGGACACAGACACAATGGTGCAACATCTTCACCATATTGAAAAGATAGAGGTAAGGTAAGTTTCGATTATAGGCACTATTTGGATTAATCAACGATATCATACAGATCTAAATTGACTATATTCCGATAAAGTCTTCGTTTCACGAAGGCAACAAACTTGCGTTTGGTTTTAAACAAAAAAATCTTTTTTCCTGCATATTAAATTTTAATATTAATTTGTTTACGCGTGAGAAATCTTTTTTTTTTGAATATACAATATACTTGAGAATTTTTTTTTTATAGAAAGAAAATGTTTACACTATACGTGCGAAACTGTTGTATTTGGTTATAAAAAGTCTTTAAAAAAAAGCGGGAAACATTAGACTTTATTATTCCGATACATTAAATTTCAAAAGAACTTTTCATGGATTAAATTAAAAAGATATACCATTAGAGATTGAAAGGAATAGACAGGAACTCCATGATAGATCAAAAGACTCTCTTGTCGCCAATTTCCTGAGTATTACATTAATTTCTAAGATAATCTTAGTTATTTTTTCTTTTAGCTACCTGCAGAAAGTTTTCAGTTTGATGAAGACTTTCCAAAAATATTTTGTCAATTGGATATTCTGCGTCGATCAGAAGTTGACTATGCTTATTGGAAAGAAAAAGCTCGGTATTGTAAATTTTAATAATGTGAAAATGAAAAAAGAAAATTTCATATTCTTCTTAAGATGGATACGTTTTGAAGAAATAGCTGAAAATGTTCTTGGTCGTTGGTCGAAACCTCATGTAGCAACATTAATGCAAACAGCTTTGTTAGATTTAAAAGTTTTACTTCAAGATGGTCTTATTCTTCTTAATAATCCAGCTAATGATTTACCGACAGTTTCACGTAGGATTTTCGAAAAAAAAAACTTTTTCTTCAAAACAACTAAATTGAAATGTTTTCCTTTAGAAACCATTGCCCAATCATTGTTGGACTCAAACTATTTTGATAATCCAACATATGCACAAAAACTTGTTTGTATTCTTGGCTTACCACATTTTCATCATTATGAAAAACGTTCAGCAACGAAAACTGCTAGTTCAATTAATCTATCGAAACAAGGTCTTCATCCAAGTGCAAGTTTTGTTATGAATAATCTTAATCGACGAGGTTCTGATTGTTTTTTTTTTATTATATTTTATTATTCTCCTATTTTTCTAGATGAAGAATGTGATAGATCAGAGCCAGGTCTCGTTACCAAACCTCCAAGTTCTCCGACTATCACACCTAACGAACAGGAAGACACAATTAGTGTAACACAACCAACACCAAAAGTAAAAAAAGATAAAATAATTGAACTTTAAAGTGATACTAAAAAGCCCAATCAAAATTGATCTTTATTTAGTATTGGTTAAAATTCAATAAAAATCTGTTCAAAAGTTTAAATAAAGTTCTTACTGATAGAGATGAAAATGTAAACATAAAAATAATATTTCTACTAATTTTTTGCATGACTAAAATCATTTGTTTTTATAAGTAGAAAGTTAAATTTATTTTTTTCTCAATTAGGATTATAATGTAAAATTACAAAGAAAAATCGATAGCAAATCAGAAGGTGCATCAATTCTCATATGTCCAGTTAATTTTGTTGAAAAGCGAGACATTGTTTTTCTTCGTTTACAAAATTCAGTTGAATTATCTGGGATGCTTGAAATAAAAATTTCTTCACGTTTTATTGTTCTTTTAATTGGACCTGAAGATAATGAAAAACAATTGTTACAAATGGGACGAACAATGGCAACAATTTTAACTGATGATATTTGTCGAGAATATGCATATTTGGCAAAAGATTCAAATGAAATTATGAAAATGATGAATCGATTTATGCAAGATACATATGTTATACCACCATCGGAATGGGACCCGACTATTCGAATTGAACCACCAACGAAATATATGAGCAAAGTAAAGAAAACAAAAATAAAGAAGCTTTTTGTTGAATTTTCTTATCTTTTATAGGAACAACGGCAAGCGAAAGCACCACAAGAAAAAATAGGAACAATTGAAGAGATTGAGGTAATCCCTCATACAGATCCGAATTTGATAGCTTCTAAAAGGTACGGACAAGGAAATAATAATATAATTATTGATAAATATCATTATTTGTAGACCATTTCATGGCCTTTGTATGGATATTCGAAATAAATTACCATTTTATATATCAGATTTTACTGATTGTGCTAGTTTACAATGTTTAGCAGCTACACTTTATTTATATCTTGTATGTCTTTGTTCAGTCGTTGCTTTTGGTGGTATGCTTGGAACAGCAACAGAAAATTATATGGTAAGAATTATGACTTTTTTTTTTAATCGAACAGGTCTTGTGACTTATGTTCATACTGTAGAGCGAATCTTTCTAGCTGTTTCCTTCCAATTCAATGATCTTTTCACCTTTAAATAGTGCATAGCGTTCTAAAAGAAACCTTAAATGAATTTGAGTCTGATTAAGCTATCGACTTTTTTTTTTCAAGGGATCCCAGATTTTTGGAAAACTTGTATTTTCAAATTTCGATCTGAAACTTTGTGTATATAGAGAACTCAACTAGACAAGCTTCCATAAAAAAATTCAGAAGTTTGCAAGAAAGTCTATTTGAGATATGACACATTTAAGACAGAACGTTTTTCATGGATAGTATATATAACATGCATCTTTTTGAAAGCTGCATATCTCGCAGAAACTTTGTTCAAAACTTCTAATTTTTTTTTTATGGGAATTATTCTAGTTAAGTTCAGCATATGTACAAAGTTTGAAACCAAAGTTCGAAAATAAGTTTTCCTAACAGATACCAAAAACGAACCGAACCAGACCTAATTTTCAACAAGATAGACGAGCAACAGTCTAATCTCAAATGAAGACATAATTGATCGAACAATAATCGATTTTGTAAAAGTATAGTGCTCTCGTTGAAGATAAAACAAACTTTGCTTGATTATTTGATATCCTTAATGTTATTTTCATAGAATAATGCCTTTTTTCCTCTCCATAACAATTATACTAATTGTGTTCATGATGATAGATCGCATCTATGCGACATAATTTTTCTATTTTCTTGCCTTTTATATTTCTTCATTTTTCTGTACTGCGATGATTTGTTTTTCTGTGATCGTGTCAGATTTTGTATTAAAACTACAAAATTGATGATACCTACGTATGAATATTAAAAACTTTATTCGAATTCTCAAGTGTATTAAACAGTATTAATTTACCTCAATATCAACTCTAATGCGAAACTGTAATCGTTCGAAAAGAGAGTTCTAACCTATCATCTACTCTTGATTAGGAGAAATTAGGGCTACCAGAATCGAACTAACATAATCCGGTTCGATTCAGTCTTTGTTTCCTAGTATTTCTAAGAAGAACTACAGTATAAACTTTAAAAAATACTGTAAAAATGCAATATCTCGGTAACAATAATCTAAGGATTCAAGTTCTTCTCAAAATATTCATAGTACATTATAATCTATATGATACACATAGTCTCGACTCAAAATCGAATAATCAAGTTTGGAGACTTCCCTCAAAAGAATTCTTAAAAATTCTACTATTATTTGTTATGATAGGCTACGATGGAATGTATTCTTGCTGCATGTGTAAGTGGTATTCTATTTGCATTATTCAGTGGACAACCATTAAATATTCTTTCTGCTACTGGTCCAATGTTAATACTCGAACGTATTATAGAACATATGTGCAAGTAAGTGTTATTAATTGAAATTTATTTATTTGAAATTACTTCTTCAGAGATTATCGTGTAAATTTTCTTGAATTTCGTTTGTGGATTGGCATATGGATATTTTTATTATTATTAATATTCGTTACATTTAATTTAAGTTTTCTTGTTAAATATATAACACGTTTTACTGAAGATTGTTTTGCATCATTAGTTGCATTAATATTTATCTATGATGCTATACGTGAAGTTTCAAAAATTCGTAAACTTTATCCAGTAAATTATCGACCTAATGTTTTATTAGATTATTCATGTTCATGTTTATTTACTGATATTGGTTATAATGAAACAACAATAAATGATACAAATATAGTTGATTATTTATTTCATGGAACAAATTTAAATAAAACATCTCAATCAGCATGTATGAAAGCCGGTGGTTTTGTTGTTGGTTCAGGTTGTTCAACACCAGTTTATCATTCTGATATATTCTTTTTTTCTGTACTTTTATTTGTTTTTACTTTTTTTATTTGTATGGCTCTTCAGGAATTTCGTAGCAGTACCTTTCTACCAACGAAAGTAAGTTAACAAAAAGCAAAACAAAAGTATTAAATGAAAATTCTATTTGTATTTAAGATTCGAACAATTCTTAGTGATTTTGCTGTTTTAATTGCTATTATACTTATGACAGCATGGGATGCATATTTACTTTTAAATACACCTAAATTACATGTACCAACAAAATTAAAACCAACACGACCACATGATCGTGGATGGTTAATACCATTTTTTGGTAAAAATAAATTATGGACAATACCATTAGCAATAGTTCCAGCTTTGGTAGCAACTATACTTATTTGTATGGATCAACAAATAACAGCTGTGATTATTAATCGAAAAGAATTTAAATTAAAAGTAAATAAGAAAAACATGAATCTTTTGTTTTTTATTCTAGGCGAAATGTTGTTTTTTTTCTTCTTTTAATTAGAAAAGTCTTGGTTATCATCTTGATTTATTTGTTTTATCTATTACAATTTTAATACAATCAATACTTGGTTTGCCATGGTTCGTTGCAGCTACAGTTTTAGCTTTAACACATGTTAATGCATTGAAACTTATGAGTGAAAATTCAGCACCGGGTGAAAAACCAAAATTTGAAGGAATTCTGTATGTTTTTTTTTATATCATAAGAAAAAGAAGTTGCTTTTCGTTTTAGTGAACAACGTGTTAGCGCACTTTTAATGGCTATTTTATCTGGTTTAAGTGTGTTGTTTACTCATATTTTAGGGGTATGTCTCTTGAAAGTTATGGATTCTTCTATCAATAAGAAAGAAAAAATACGTCTTTTTCCTATGACTTTGCATAGAATCTTCCTATATCTTCCATATATTTATCGAACTTCGAGATTAGTATGAAATTATGATATATTGCTGTTTAGTTTTTCATGATAGTAAACACATAAACGTACTGATCATTGCCTCGTATGCTTAACTCTAGTTATAGAAAGACATCTTGATGATGTCAAAACCGGTCATTAACTAAGATTTAATAAATCAAATTTTCCATGTTTTTAGTATCTCTCCTCTTATTCGAATGATAAATGCTTCGAGTTTATGTCAAAATTTAGCTAACGAGCGATATCTTCCAACTAATTAATCGCGTTTTAGTCAGAACTCTATTCATTGTGTAGACATAAATGAGCTATGAATATCCTAAAAAGAATTTAGGCCCTGAGTTTATTGCTGCCGATATATTCCATTTTTGTCGTAGTTTTTAAATGAATGCTATATGGCCTTTGTGAAGATATTAACATATTCTTAACATTTATCCGTTTTATTCCAAGCTTAAAATACATGGAAAAAGATTTGAAACAACGAAATTATAAATTTTGAACGCATCTGATCGTTTGTATCGAATTAGAAGAAAAGTAATCATTTTATACATTGATTCATTCATATTTTCATAATTTCTTTATTTAATTGATACATTTCTCTTATCGTCGTTCATATTCAACTTTAGTACCTCTTTTGAGGTCAGTATAAAAACCTTCTACGAACACTGACCATTTTCCTGAGGAACGGTTTTTTCCTTATCAAAATAAACACTTTTGTGATTTTGGTAGCAAATACATTGGAAGGAAAAATCAGCAGGCTATATAAATTTTGAAGAGGTTAGCAGTGCTAATATTTAATTGAGTTGCAATAAAGTTCTTGGTATACTTAAATTACAATCAGCTGTTTTATTTCCAATCATGAAATCTGTTTGCCTGGATCTTGATGATAATTCTTTTATCATTCTTCTCTGTGTACAGAGTTTATTTGTCTATTTGATCGGGTGTTTAATGGAGAAAGAAGATCTTCATAATTTAATATTGACACTTTTGGATATTGTAAAAATAATTGATTGTCATAGAAAACAGAGGTCGAAACGGGTCAACTTTGTGCAAATATAGTCTGTTGATGACAGGCTATGAACTTCGTTAGTCTACCAATGTCTGTCATCTATTCTTTTGTTAGTCGAATCATCCTCTCTGTCGTCTTGTACGGCCTGTCACAGTCTAAGTATTGTTCTTTTTTACATAATAATACTATGATGATAATTGAATGAAAACAGTACATTGTCTTTATCAGAAGGCAAAGAAGACACGACGAAAAACTCTAGTTTTTGAGTAACAACGTTTTGAAAGAGTTTAATGAACTAGTTGAAGAGAACCTAGCTAGTCCTACGATATTACGGCAATATAAATATGAACTGATCAACGATTCATGTAAGATACAATGCACAATGTAGTCACAATTCTATTTTTAGTCATAATTGTGTCGAGTTGAAATAATACAAAAAAAAAGTTTTACTTTTCATCTTTCGGCAGCAAAGACACTCCACTATATTTTTTCACACGTATATTTTCTGTTCGAAAAACTAATTTTTTTTTTATTAAGACTTAAAAAACATGATAGTCAGACGACCTACATTTCCTGCAACAGGCTTCAAAATCAAGACCTGTGTCTCTCTAAGACAAGCAGGCGGAAAAACCTGCTTGGATCAATGTTTCGTGATATACGTATTCATGACATTGTTAAATCTTCTATTGCTCAGTCATGATTATAACTAATGATCAGTAGGCAAACAAAATTTTCACATTAGAAAACAGTTTACTGTTATTAAAGCGTGATATATCATCAATCTCATCGGATGGCTGACACGCACATCATAGTAAAAAATCATAATATCGTTGTCTCATCTTTTGAAACTATAGACTGAAAGTTAGATGAATCAAGTTGTATGAATCTTGCTCTCATGATGAGCACCAAAGAATGACGGATTAAAGTAGCCACTGTTGTATCGAGTATATTTCAAATAAGATTGATGTAAGGCATAGTGATCAACATGATTCTGGATTTAGAAGCATTAGAAAAAATCACGTAATTTACGTTCAATTTATCTTGACTACGCTAAAAAGCAATAAAGAATAGCACCCATATACGAATGTTATTAAAAATGTGTGTTTTACCAAAACAAATTTAATCAAAAACAAAAATCTGATTCCAGTTGTTTCCACTTTGTCAAAAATGTTCATATTGAGAAAACAATGAAATGAATTTTGACTTTGAAAATCCAGTTTTCCTTCACCATGAGGTTCTATGAGAAAATTTATTTAGAAGGTATGCAGCAGTTGGTAGTGCATATTTACCGATTTCATTTAGTCATAATCTTCATGTCCCAAATCTATAGTGAAACTAAAAAGACTTCAACGACTGAAGTTTCCAAAAACTCTTTCGGATTATGAGTTTTTTAGAAAGCAACTTTGTGATGCAATTGATCGAAAATATAAAGTTATATTATGCGAGTGTTGTCTAAGTTTCATTGAGGCAATAAATAATAGCAAAGATTTTATGTGGTTCAATGATTTCTCTCATTAGAGCTTGCCGAGTGCTAAGCCAGTTAGCTGAGAATTTTCAGATCTGACCTATATTCAACCGGACTCGAGTTCAATACCAACATGCGGATTCTATTTCTCATTCATACACAAAGATCGAGTTAAATATCCATTACACTAAATGATATGAATGTTACAGAAGTTAACCCAATTTTTAATAAGATCGTCTAAACTGACGTTTGTCGATATTTTTCCGGTTTTCATAAACAATCGTGATTAATCTATAATTTTTCAAAACTTCATGAATGAGTAACTCTAATCAATTCTTCATTAAAGAATCCTCGAGGAATCATGACAAGGATCCATTGGAAATTTTCTTAGAAATCCAGTACGAGAATTATTACTGTTGTAAATGTTTATATACGATGCCATTTATTCTTTTATTCTCATAAGTGAGAACGAAGAGTTTCTCTTTTCTTCCTCTCTGTAAATATAAAAATAGAATTTTCTTCTCAATTATACTTATCAATGAAATAATAGTTGATATTAACCTAAAGAGAAAAGAATGTCATTTATTATATAAAATATTATTTACCATGTCATTGTTCTTGATATTGATTCGAATAAAAATAATATATATCTACTGTCAGAGTTATTGTGGATTAAAATAGCTTTTCTAATAAAATAAAATGGATTATACAAGAGCTAGAAAAATGAAATGGTCATGTCTGTTTTCTTATTTGTTGAAATCCATCCGACAGTAAATATTTAGTTCATATCATGAAATAGCGAAGATATTTTTTAAGACAAAATCAACAAAATTTATTGTTTCTTGGTTTTAAAAAATAAAAAAAAATGTACGAATGATTTTTATGTAGATGATTTTTGCGTCGTCGTTTTGGAAATATCGTGGTTAATCGTCAAAATTTATGCGGCTTTGATGAGATGAATCTTCAACAAATTGCAATCCTGCTGAATTCGCTTTTTTCTGTTCAATATGTGATTAGACTTAACTGTCATGTTTGTTTTTACAAGCATTAGAATTGTTTGATCTTAATGAAGTCGTGATCACTGTAATGATAATCAATGATTGAATTAATCGTTGAATTCCATCCTGTAGAAAACACTTTTTTTTTATAAAAGACATTACTATATAATTAATGCCAGACAAGATCGAGCATGCATGAACGCATCTTGACTAGTTAATAGTAGAGCTCGTCGTATTCAAATTTTTCGGTCTGGACCTGAGTAGCTCCGAATCTAGAACTAATCCGATGGACTCTAGCTAGCAGTTGAGTTCAACTGTCAAACATTGGCTTGATTTTCAGGCCTAGTCGGCAGTTCACCGACTTTTAAATAATATACTTTTCGAACGTTTATTAGCGTTTAATTTTGTTAGATTATCGATACTTGATATGAACTGTTTTAGTTTTCTATAATTTTTTTGATTAATTCTTTTTAGTATATTCCAATGCCTGTTCTTTATGGTGTCTTTATGTTTATGGGTGTTTCTGCTTTACGTACTATGCAAGTCAGTAAATTATGATTTGTGTTTTTGTTTTTCAATTTTAATTATATTTTTGTAATTGATAGATATTTGATCGTGTTTTATTATTTTTTATGCCACAGAAATATCAACCAGATTATCCGTATTTACGACATGTACGAATAACACGTGTTCATTTATTTACTATTATACAAATTCTTGCACTTGTTGGCATGTTCGTATTAAAAAGTATCAAATCAATTGCAATTGCTTTTCCATTATTAGTAAATTTAAATTACTAAAATAAAGATTTGAAACAAATCATATATATTAGGTATTAGGAACATGTTTTGTACGTAAATTAATGGATAAAATCTTTACACAAGAGGAATTATATTGGCTTGATGATATTTTACCTGGAGCAAAAGGTGGTCGAATTCGTCGCGCTTCAATTCCTCGAAATGTTCATATACCAAAAATTACACAAGAGTTAAATGATGAAAATAGACAAGTAAGTATTCTTCTTCTGTTTTTTTTTTCAAATAAGTTATTTTATTACAATACCTATAATTCGAATAATGCAGCTACCACCCAATGTATCATTTACATTATCAGCAAATGAAGCTGATGATTCTAATCGTGATACATTAGAAAATAATTTACCAAATATAGTTGAGGTTGGTTAAATATACAATGACATGACAAACGCTATTATAACTATTAATTTTCTTAGTGGCATGTAGCATGAATCTTTTCTTCTATCTAGGTATCAAAACAGCAAAAATATGGTTCTTTGCCGATTGATCATTCGAATCAATCATGTATTCCATTAATTGTGGTTGATGAAATTATATCACCAGAGGAAACATCAGTCAATGCCAGAGTAAATTTTAAAACTCAGTTTTATTCTTAATTTTATATCAAACATGAAGTTAATTTTCCTTTCTAAACGGGAAAAAAAAATTTTTTTTTCCAACTAAGAATCAGTCACACACATAAACATTGTCATTTACAGGATATACTACCGAAACTATCAATTAATCTGTTTCAATTACATAAAAAATATTAAAATTCCTTGGTGACATTTATTGTAGGTTATTCTACAGATAATTCATTGAATAATGCATATATCGCGTGTGATCTCTTCTTCAGCTTTATTCTTCTAACGCAATTGCTAGAATCTAATTTCATCTTTACATTCACAAAATGAAAAAAACAAAATACCATGAATAAAAATTTTTCTTACTTTCTAGGAAGAAGCTGAACAATTAATGCATCGTGAATTATCATTAGAAACACAACATGATGGCAAATGCAAGACTATTCAAATACCTGTATAAATTTTTTGTCTGTCTTATTTGCTGTTCATTGAATATTTATATTGATTAGTAAATGTATGCGCACGCTTGTTTTCACTTTGCATAATATGATTTTTTTCTGCTTTCATGAATATTTTCTTTTATATGTTTAATTTTGGCAGAAAAATAAATCAATCGATTTTTATGGATAGAAATGAAATCTACAATAAGAACTTGAGATTTAAACTTGAACAATTTTTTATCAAGAGTATATCAGATCATTTGAACATAAGTCGAATCATTATTAAACTATAGCTACTCAATTCAGTATCGTTAAGCTCCGTTTTGCTTTATGAATTTGGAATATATACTATACAGCAAGTTTCTGTCAATAGAGCATTTATAAATCGTAAATAGAGATGAGCAAAGGCATGAGAACGAAAGATTGTAGTTAAATGTTCTATGACTTCGAGCAATTTATCTTGTCAATCAAGACAAATTTTAGAAGAGATCATCTAACAATCAGTATTAAAGAATTGTTTTGATTTGATGCCAATAAATTCTGAAATAGACATCTCTTTTTCTCGGTTCTACCAGGAAACAAATATAAAATCACAGAAATTGAGTCTAGACCAGACTTTTCATGGCTATAATCAAGACTTAAGAACTTGGCTCCGCCTATGTCTAGTCATAACAAAATGTCCTGTGTTAAAAATCATTGCTCTCTAACATTTTAATCCGATTATGTTATTCGTTAACATAAGTTGAACAGAAACTCTGCTGAAAATTTAAACTAAAGTGAATATGAAATATTATTATTTTGATAGTTTTCAAGAGACCAAATGAGAAAAAACAGATGCATATAATTTAAGATCCTTCGATTTTTCTTCAAATTAATGTTTCTTTCGTTACAATCTCACCTGCTTATAATTCTATTATATTTTTCAATTATTTAAATAAAATGAGAAATGCACCTTTTTTTCTAATTATAGCAGAGTCCCAAGAACTATCATTTATTTGAAGTACAACATTGCATGAGCATTTTGAGAGAACAAAGAGCTATCCAGGGATTACTTGCGTTCCAGCATGAGCAGATACTTGCGCATTTCTCTACATCTAATTATGAATCAACAGAAGTCATTTGTCTAAAACTCTTTTTATTATCGAGATGTATTTTTCACAAAGCTGAATATTTCCTTGTGAAAAATATAGAATAATATTTTTCACGAATGAATAGAAATCGTAAATTTTACATGAAGGATAATTAAATTTACTGAATAAATATTATATATAATTATAGGAAAAAAAAACAATTGCCATTTTAAGCATGGCTATGAAAGCATTTATTTAATTTCTATTGCTCTAAAGTTAAAGACTAAAAATCATTTTGTATTCTCAAATATTTCTAATTTGTTTAGTTCATCTATCATGAAGAATTTTCTTGATAATCAATCAAATGATATGTTATATGAATGATTAAGTGAATGAGAATTATTTATTTTTTATAACAATGACTTTCGTGATAATAACAATATCTATAAAGGAAAAAGTCAAAGATCATCACAAACGAGACAAGTGGTCTGAAAAAGATTTTCTTTTATTATGAAACTTTATTAACAGTATCATTTGCATCAATGATCACGGACAAATAATCGAATTTGTCTTATTTATATGTCTGAGTTCATATGGAATCTATAATTCAATATAAATATCTTCCATATTAACACATAATAAATAAAAATAGGGTCATAATAGATAGAAAACACTATTTTGCATATAATGGACTATTTTTCTCATGCCGAATTCCTAAGAAACCCATCCGTCATCAAGATTATAAATCAAATAAATTAGATTCATTTTCAAGAACATGATTGATAAGTGTAAATATATCTTTTCTTATTCAGAAAAAAACAAACAATTTCTGATGTTTTTTTGTATGCATATTTATTAATCAAATTGAGATTTTCTACCGAAATGATCGTATTGGTCTATGTAAACAACATTGTTAATATTTGTACTATTTTTTTCTGCAATTAGAAATTTCGTTGAATGAAAAATTATATAAAAATAAATTCATTACATTTTTCTACGTAGTAACTCTCATCTTACATAATAATCTATTTGTTTTCTTATTGAAATATATTTCAAAATCGTATTTCAAAATATAATTACCTTGTGCTATGCTTGATATATATAAATTTGAACCATGTTTAAGTATCATATCATTATCTTAACATTGAATTAATTAGACTTTTTTTTAATGAAGACATAAGCACGAAGATATGCTAATAATTTTCCATTTTTTTTACCGACAATTAAAAGCAACCGAATAATTGTTAAATATAAGTATACTTCGTATCATCACGTGAGAGGCATGACATACGTTCTCATCTCTATAGAAAGTAGATATTTACGTAGTTTGAAAATGAATGTCTTCTTTTTTATGTCTTTATAGCTTGTATGTAGGTATACATAAGCATCAAAACTTGATATTATGTCAACTATTTGTTGTCAATTATACAATTTGATTATTTAAATAGAAATCAAGAACTACTAGTCTTGTTTTTGACTTCAGCCCATGATAGGCTATGAATAACGATATCTATTGTTAATAAAAAATCATGATAGAATATATTAGATAATTTGTTTTGTCCTGTATTTGCATTAATTTCGCATGATCTCTTTTTTTTTCTTGTCTTTTGTAAGTGATTGTAAACGAGTTATCTATTGAAAAGCATCAGTCTTTGCTTCTTTTTCTTGTTTATCAAAGTTTTCAGATTATTCGATAGTTTTTCTTTTGTATTCTTTTTTTTCTTAGAAAAATGACAACATCATCTGAAACTTGCGATAGCATCTATCTGTCATTAAAGTAATTAGAAAATATCTGGTTTTATTCCTGACAATCTTTCACTATATTCATCTTATTTCTTGCTCTTCCGTGAGTGTAAATGCACACGCAAATGTTGAGCCTTGACGCTTTCTCATTCACACTCGATTTTATTCGTCTGTAGACAAATAAGCCGTCTGTCTCTTTTTTTTCTTCAAGTTCTCATCTTCTCGTTCTCTAGATGTCTTCTGTTGTTGTCATCAATTCTCTATGTCAGAAACAGAAAGAAAAGAAAAAGAAACGAGAAATCTAGAAAAAGCAAAAAAAAACTCGTAGAAAAACAGCAGTGTTTTATCCAAAACAGCCCAATGATAAGACGTTGACGCTCGACGAGTTCGCATGCAGTCGCAGATTCATGGAACCCATCCATTAATCGTAATATTGGACCAAAAAGAAGGAAGCAAGAAACAAAAAGAAAAAAAATGAGAAGGAGGAAGATGATTATTTAACAAAAGAAAACACAACATTAAACGGGCACGATTGCAGCGAAAATCAAGGAAAGAATTCTTTTTTTTTTCTCATTTTTTTTCACCCGTAAGTTTTATGCAACATTATGCTTACTTTTGTTTCATTACATAAAGTACGAATATCCTATATATTTAAGATTTTTTTAAAAATTTTAGATTAATATATTCACTAATGACATTAAATAGTAGTTTAAATCAATTTGCATTTAATTTATCTTTTATTATGGGAAGAACTCCATCAATGACAATAAGTACGACAACTGAACAATTAATTCCACTTGAAAATCGTCCACCAATTATGACAACATTTATATCATTATATGCACTTATTTTTTTCTTTGGTATAACTGGAAATGCTCTTGTAATTTGTAAGTATTAGTGTTTTTACTTTAACTAAAAAACGAAAACTTTTTTCTGCCAGATGTTGTTTGTCGAAATAAAGCAATGCAAACTGTTACAAATGTATTTATAACGAATCTAGCACTTTCCGATATTCTAGTAAGTAAATATTATCCAATGAATAAATGTCATGGAATTGTTTTTCTTCTAGATGTGTTGTTTAGCTGTACCATTTACACCAATATCAGCCTATGGACATACTTGGCATCTTGGTAGAATCCTATGCCATTTAGTACCCATGTCATTGGGGATATCAGGTTAAATGATACTTATATGATTATTATTTTTTCTTATGAGTTTTATTTTTTAGTTTATGTATCAACATTGACTTCTTTAGCAATTGCTGTTGATCGTTATTTTGTTATAGTACATCCATTTCGTTCTCGTATGCGTTTAGGTGTCTGTATATTATTAATTATTGTTATATGGATTGTTGGTATTTCGATATCTTTACCTCTAGCTATTTATATGCGATTTGATCGTACAAAATGTGAAGTAAGTTCAATAAAGAAAAAAAAAGAACTAACTAAGTAAAACATAACATTTAAAAAATATATTTTTTATTATCTATTTAATAGGAATATTGGCCACAATATACATCGCGACGTTTTTTTAATTTTTCATCATTAGTTTTACAATATCTTATTCCATTTTCAGTTATATCTTTTAGTTATTATAAAGTATGGGTTGCACTTGCACGTCGTTCATTACCAGGCCGTACACGAATACGTGAAGAAGTTGAACTTTGTCGTAAAAAACGTACAAATCGTATGTTAATTGCTATGGTTGTTATATTTGCTATTTGTTGGTTACCATTAAATATTGTTCATATGGTTGCAGAATTTCATCGTTCAGACTTAAATCATTATAAAGTTTTATTTTTAAGTACACATGTTATAGCAATGTCATCAACAGTTTATAATCCATTTTTATATTCATGGTTAAATGATAATTTTCGTAAAGAATTTCAACAAATAATTCCATGTTTATTTAAAATATGTTCATGTTTTAATCATGATAGATTAAATAATATGACTATGAATACAACAGGTGATGGGGATATTTATTCTGATCGTCCAACAACGTATCATATGCCAATAGATTCAACATCAAATGGCAATACAAATGGTTTTACCATGAAAAAACTGAATTCAGAAAATATTCCATTAACATCAATCAAACAAAGTCCATCAATCGAAGAATCATTACTTATGTCAAATAAACCAACAATAATTGATATGAATTTCAATCATGCTTAACATTAATATTCTCTCCTTTATTATTTTTTCATGTTTTGTCAAAGAAAAGAGAATCCATTAAGATTATATTTTGTTTCTGCATATATTTCTTGCGGTGTATAATTACAGAATAAAGAATTTAATTAAATATTTTAGATGAAAAATGTTTATTATTAAAATAAATCATACAAAATTTTTTAGAGGTTAACTTAACCATATGCGAAATGCCTCTAAGGACCAATGACTTATTTTATCTTCCAGTTCAAATGAAAGATAATGAATTTTCCGTTGCAAATCATAGTAATTATACGTTACAATTTTCTTTTTGCTTCTTTCTATTCATCTTGATGTATTCAGAAGATAACATCTCAGTAATATTCAATATAGATAATACTACAGAATAGGGAGGGAAAATTATAGACTGATAGTAAAAAAAAATCATGAAAAGATCACTTGGATCTTTTAGTTTATAAATTTTGAACTAATTCAATATTATTAGAAATTATATTATTGTGTATATGCAGTCAGTCAAATGATTTAGTTTGATAGTTTGTAGAAAGAAGATTAATGAATATAGAGCCACTTTTGTTTAATAATAACAGCATAAGGCTAATACCAAAATAATTAATTGAGCAATAGTTTGAATACTAATGATTTTGATACAGATCAATTCAACGACAGCAAAGATTTACTTTGGGATTTTTTTTCTAAATCCTATTAGTTATTTTATTGTGAAATAGAAATTGTTTGTTTGGAGAGTAACCACTCACAATTATGTTTCGAATGTAATTATTATATGTCATATTCTATCAATGAAAACATTCAGTGGTTTTGAAAAACACCACAAAATATGAGTTATGATAGGTTGTTTTCTTCATGTTTTCAATTCAACAGAACAAAAAATGAATGAAACTATAATGTTTTCATTACGAGTCATAAACTTTGATGTTCTTTTTTTTAATCAATGTAAAACATAATAGAGCATGTAAATGACACCCTATGGGTATGTAATGTATGTTGAATAAGCAAGATAGACATCGAAATGTGTAATGAAAACAAACCACTTTCATCTGTTATGTGAAGAAAAGAAAACATACACTGATCCATTCTTCTTATTGAGCATATTTAGTTCTTTTCTTTTGTATTATTTTAATTGAACGCATAATTTCTAAAAATACATTCATTCGTTGATACATGGTTAGTATCTTTCAAGGACAACAAAAGAAAAGTAATTATCAAGACAGATGTTTGGTTACTCTCCAGATCGATGACATTCTGTTTACTAATTAGTTTAACTGGAGGGGTATATCAAAAAGTATGGGTACCGTGGTGTCGCTAATTTAGAGGAGTACTAGATATTTGAATGTATAAAAACTTTTTATCATATAAAAGATTAGGTCGTTTAAAAATCGAAGTTAATAAGTAGGCATAAGAATTTTGTTGTGAATTCCAGTTTCCTCTCTTGACATATTTTGATGTTTGTTTTGCTGAAAAAGTATGACGTTTTTTTTCTATTGACGCATTAGAAACCATTTTATTGTCATTCGTAAATAAGTGAGTCATATAAAAATTATTTTTTTTTTAATGACTCATTTGTTCTTTAAAAAAATAAAATCTCCTTATATTAATTGTATACTTTTTCTTCAAAAGGAGTTGTTTTTTCTTTAGTTCCGTTATATATTTTTCTGTCATGTATATGAAAATAGCATTAGGATAAAATAACATGTATGACATCGATAAGATTTTTCTTTTCTTCTATTCATGCGAAAACGAATCTAATTATCAATAACAAAAAGAAAAAAAGCATACAGAGACGATTGACATCAGCTTGAATAGCTTTTTTTTGAATTATTTGAATAATCGAGTTAGATACCCATTGAATAATTTTTAGAAACACTAAAAAAAATGGCTAAATCGAATTTAAGTGATTATTATGGTTCATTTACTGATAATGATTCAGGTATTGGTGTTAATTCTAATTATTCCTCATCAACACTAAATGAATCATTGTCTTCATATATTTCACAATCGACAAAATCACCTCCATTTCTTCCTTCTACGACAACAACAATGATTAAAAACAGTTCCGATGATGTGCCATTCATTAGATTTGCATCAGATGGTATTGTTGAACGTATTCGTCCAGCAACAATGAAAAATAGTGAGAATGGAGATTTTATTGTTTGTCGAACAGATCGTGGAACATATATTGCTCATCGAACAACAATTGTGCCTGAATGGGTTACACGTCTTGTAGAAGAAATCGAATTTCAACAACGATAAATATTTGACTTGATAAAAATGGCTTTTTTCATTGTAAATACAACAAATTAAGTATAAAAATTATTAGATTTTTGTTCTGTTCGCTGCAAAACTATTTTTAATGATAATTTGATTGTTTTTCTGTATGACGTTTGTCGATAGAAGTAGCAAGATAAACAAAGATTCTTAAACCTTGTGACACATATTTGGGAAATCTAAACTTGAAAAATTTAAATTAAAGATAATAAAAAATTAATTTCGGTAGTAGGGGGTACACATTATTACCTGGGTAATTTAAAAAAAAAACTTTACGCCTCTTTAACACAAAGAATTGTTTTATTGTTACAATTTTCAATATTTTTTTCTTTATCGTTCAATAAATTGGTTCTAAAATATTACATGTTATCTATCTAATTAAGATAGCTACGCTTCAATTCATCCGAAAACTAGATAATAATATAAGATGTTTCCATTGAAGCATTCATCCGACAAGTCCAAGGTTGTGTTTTTTTCCTATTTCTTTTAAAGAAAATACTCAAAATATTCGATGGTGCGAAAAAGTTTGAAAGTTTCAGAATTGTTGAACATCTAAGTTTATACAAAATAAAATTGTACGATTTTTCGTTTCATCGTACTTGGTATGACTTGTCATTATTATCATATATCAAGTAAAGTACAGTGTAGAAATGAATGAAGAAACGCATATGTGACAGATGCCATCCCTTCAGGGCTAATATTCTTAGTTATATTTCTTCCGCGTCTTGACTTCCTTTTTTTATATAATATGAGTTTGTTTTCAGCTACTCTAGCAAATTATACTTGCTTTCCTATCATGAATGAAATATATATAATTACTACCCTGGAATTTTTAATAGACTCTTGTTTGATTATAATACAAAACTCTAAGTCATTTGATCTAGTGTTGAAAGTATTTAGAAGTTAGCTCTTTTGAATAAAATATTCTAAATTCATACAATTCAATTGTCTCATAATAATATTTAAATTTCCAATAAACATTACAGGCACACAAGAAGAAAAAAAACAGCATTCATAGAACAATAATTAAGGCTGAACATCATCTGATTAGAAAAATAATATAAAAGAAAAAGAAAAAGAAACGAGAACAAATATCTATACATAATATAGAAAAAGAGCTCTAGCATATTCATAATAATAATTTTCTAGTGAACATCACATTAAATTCGCATATTATCAAAAGGAAAAAGAGAAATCTTCGGCAACATGTCACTGTGTTGACTAGGAATAAAGATCATATCAAATTATCAAATGAACTTAAATATTCAAGTGCTGAACGATAACAAAATTGATATTGATCCTAGCAAAAATAAATATAATATTATTAAAGAAAACTTTTCTTTTTTGTTTTTTTTCTTCTTACTTCTGTTTGAACCAGTGCTGGTCGTTGTGTACGTAATAATTTCACCGTTTGAAATACATCAATAACACCTTCATATCTTATTCGTTCGAGTACAATACTTAATGTTAGAAATACACCAGTTCTTCCAACACCTTCGAATAACAAAAGAAAAATCATTTGTTATGAAAATTTCAAAATTTCTTTTACCAGCTGAACAATGTACAACAATTGGACCATCTTGACCAAAACCTTCTTTTGTTTTATGTACTTGTCCTATAAAATCAATAAATCCTTCTCCAACTTTAGGTACACCTTGTTCAGGCCATTCCGTATAAAGAAAATGTCGAATAGTTCGAGATTGACCATCCTACGAATAAAAACAAAAAACAAATAAATCTCAATAAATTAATCAAATAATTTCTTTTACTCTTGAATCAGTTAATTTTAATTCACTTAATAAATATTGTGACATATGATATTCTCCAAGTGGATCAACAATGAAATATCCATAACGTATTGATCGATCTATTGGCCAATATTGAGCACATTTTTCTCTTCCCATTTCTTTTAATTTTGTAAGCATAACAATTATTGTTACATTATGTTCCCATATCATTCTCCAAAAATCATCAATTGTTTCATTTAATGGTCCTTGTGTAGCAATGTAACCATTTTTAAATCGATAACCCTAAAGTTTTTATCAATAAACAATTATAAGATGATGGAAGAAAAATTTAATAACAATGTATTTTTATGCATTATATAACAAAAATCGGACACGATACTTATCTAGTTTCAGAAATAATTTTGTAACTATTCAATTTTAAAGAGAACAAATAAAGGGTCGCCACGTTTTCTGCAACTTTTGCTTAAAAAGTTAGAAGTATCACAAACACCGAAATTTACCAAAAAAATTCGTTTTTTTATGAAAAAAAATAGCTTCTAGGACCTGGAAACTTAGAAACCTTACCATCATAGTTCATTTGAGAAATCTTGCAATAGAATGCATTAAATAAAAAAAATTCATCGACTATTAAAATTATTGTCCGTATTTGAGCTGATTGCTTAACCCTATGAGTACTATTGTTCAATCAATGGACGAAATTTCTTTAAGATTTTATATTTAATATAGATCGTGCGTATTTGTTGATATTTTCATCAAAAAATTTTTCAAATAACTTTGGACTTATTTTTGGTCCCAGTTGGTATTCCCCATGAGAATGTGCGAAGAAGTACTTTGGTCACTCCGTAGCGGGGGGGGGGGGGTACGGATATGCGCCAAAACACTATTGATTGCGGTCATCAAATCAATCTTTGGAATACTAGTATGAGCCGCGACTAACTCGACTCCAACACGGAAAATTGAAATATTTTGGGAATCAGAAATGGACATTATCTCTTCTATGTCAAAGAGAAAACCGTACTTCAATATCATTTCACGTTTGCAAGTTATTGAAACATTCAGAAACTTGAAAAATATGTACTTTATAAAGTACGTTAGTACTTAAAGGGTTAACATAATAGAAAAAGAATCATAGATATATTACTGTCAAAATGTTTTCCACTCCATTACATATCTAATGGAAAATTCTTGTGTCTCTAATCACATATGTGAGAAATGTTTCATAAAGCACGATATAAAAGGAGTGTTGAAGCATAGCGATAAAAACCGCAGCAACTTCCAGGATTTATTTTTTCGAGATTTTTCTATAAATCTCGTTATACATCTTATTATAAAACGGAAGGAAAATAGATTGAGTCGTTAGGACTATGATTCTCTTTTGTTACAATTAAAATGTAGTATATATTATTAATTGATAAATCCGCTGTAGTAAATAAGTCATGGAAAACATTCCTATTCATGAGCAAAATCAGTGCTTGAAAGTTTGATGAGATCTTCATTAAATTTTTCTAGAGATTTAATTGAATACTGACAAATTTCGACTTATTCATTTTTATTGAACTTACATCAATATAAGATGCATTAATATAATCAGATCCATCAATGCCACGTATTGGAGATAAACATACACGAGTATTTTCATCTAAGAAGAAACGGGTTAAGTGAAAAGTTTTGTTGAAAACTCAAAGAATTATATTTACATGGTAAAATATTCACAAGACGATTTTTAAATTTATTTGATGGATTATTTGCACTAATAAATTTCGATGGTTGAGCTTTAATATTTGCTAAACGCTAAACAACAAAATAAAATCAATTCTTTTTAAAATATAATTTTTTTCTTAGATCTTTTTTTACTTTAAATTCAAGTTCCATTTCTGTTAATGAACTATCATTTATTGGTTGTAAAAGTCTTTGTAAATATGTTAATAAATTTCTGGCTAATACTTCAGTTTGCCCTGATTGTATTGCTTCATTCATTGCTTCATAGATAAATATATATTGTTCTTCAGTTTGAACAATATAGTTTCTATAAAAAAAAAAGAATATAATTATATTAATTATAATAGGTAATCGAAAATTAATTTAAAAAAATGTTTAATCATTTTACAGCTTCTTAAAGGAGCCTGTATTTGGTAAACAGGCTTGCAATGTGAGTTCGGTCATTTTTGACTGATTGTTTTGAAACTCTCAATTCCTAAATCACTTTTAGAGAAAAGTTTCTATGTCTAAACTTAATTTCGCCACTTCTAAAAGAATCAGCTCGTAACTCCTTAATAAAAGATCCTAGAAAAATTTTAAAGCTATATTCAGAAACAACACAAAATTCTGATTACTACAAGCCAATGTTTCGAAAATTCTTACCGTTGAGCACGTAATAAAGTAACATGACCATATATATCAATTGTTTTTTCATATTTTAAACGTTCTAATAAAGCATCAATAACAATAAAACAACCAGTACGACCAACTCCTGCTGAACAATGTACAACTATTGGAGTAGTATCAGATAGTTGAAGACTTTTAACTCGTCGAGCAAACATTAAAAATGAGGTTGCATGCTCTAATATACCATGATCTAAATATATATATATGCATATTATTATCAAATTAATATTTGAAGCAAGAATATCCTTCCCTTTGATATGAGATATTGCCTAGCGGTAGATTCAATAGTCCAAAATCTTCCCTATAACTAATACTAGTTGTAGCTCTGGACAGATGACTGGTCTGATGCAGAGTTCTCGCACTCAATTGTTTAAGTTTTCCATACACGATAAATTACGTGTAAATTCTAGTTTTTAGAAAATCAAGATATACAATGCTTAAGAATTTTCAAATTTTTATACATTGTTAAGTACATTTGAATTATTTTTAGAAAATCAGCTTAATTTTCTAGAAAAGTATATTTCATAGAGAATATTATTTGGTCTATGACCGATAGAAAGTCATTGTTCAGTTATATATAAATGTTAGATGATACTGTTGAACATTTATTTACTTTATAGTTGAAGATAGCAACTATCAGATTGCCGATAGTTTTTCTCAGTGAATATATTTATTTTAAATAAGTATATAAATTATTTTGGCAATTAAAGAATTGTTTTTAGATAGATTACTATGGTGTTTATGTCTTACTTCATTCTAACTTTTTTTATTTTTTGTATATTATAAATGAGATATAGTGGTACATAGTAAAATAAAATACACATGAAATCAAGATAAAAAAGATGACTATTCAAAACAATTTTCAATTTAATAGAAAATGTTCGTGTTACAAAAGAGTACCTATACGGACTTATCAGCAGTTCTCTAATCTCAATAGAAAGTATAAATGACTCAATCAAGGGGACCCTCCTCTTTTTGAAGTTTCTGAAGAGCGATTCATCAGAAATATTTGAAGCTTTCAGGCAGAGGAATCTCGCTGAGTAGAGAAAAAGTTGTTATAAACTCTAAATTCCTAAATAATGCCTTTTAGGAAATATCTGGATCGTAAAGATTGAAAATTGTTCCGCTTTTTTAAATGTAATACGTCCGATAGAGCTGGTTTTTTTTTACAGGTATTAGGCACTTTTTGGGACGCCTACTTTGTTGTTTTTTTGTTTCTTTTTATCTCCTTTCAAAAGAAAAACAAATGGGCATCTCGAACAGTGCCGAGTACCTGGAAAAAGAAAAGTTTCAGCTAGATCGAACGTATTATATCGAAGAAATAGAGACTATTGCATCTGTGTCAAACTTGACAATTGAACTCAATCTTCATTTAAGTTCCAGCTTTCAAATACTCATAGCCACTCTCTCGATGTCGGAAGACAATTGAAACTTGAAACTTGAAGAGTAATTGTTCAATTGAATTCAAGCTTGACACACTACTAGAAAGGGAACAGGAAGAATATAGGGTCTAGTTCAATTGTTTCGTTAACTTTCGAACGGATACAAAATCATTATGATAATTCTCAAATTACTCATTTTAAAAATGAGATTTGATTACTCATCTTACCAGGCCATGCTGTAAATTGACAATGTCGAACTTCTCGTTTTTCTGGATGACCACTCTAAAAAATCATACGGAACAATAATCTACATATAAAATAATTCAATTCTTACCCATGCTATAGTAAATGTGCGTATACTATACGAAGCCAATTCAATAAAATCTGTTAAAGTAACTTGAATAGATCCATATGTTTCTGTTCCACGACTTGGCCAATACTGATCACATTTAAGACGATTTCGTTCTTCTAATTTAGTCATCATAACAATACAAGTTGAATTTGTTTCCCAAATCATTCTCCAAAATTCTGCAAATGTATTTGGTAATGGTCCTTGTGTTGCTATATAAGCATTTTGTTTTCTATAACCATCTAAATAATTTGCATTTATATAATCACTGCCAATAATACCATCAATTCGTCGTAATATAACGCGTGAATGATCATAAGCAACAACATTAGCATAACGATTTTTTGTTTTATTACATTCAAGTTTAGAATTCTCCCAAGAAAATTGTTCACCTGGATCAATAGACTAAGAAAAAAATAAATTACATATTGATGAACTATCTTTATCCACCTAGTATAGATTTCAGCTAGATATATTATGTCGATTATTTTACTGAATATGAATTTGCATCGACTATGCACACTCAACTTGATTTTGTTCATATCTCTAATTCATTGAAGAATCAGCGTCAGTGATGTGACACAAAAAAGAAATAACGACTTTCCCTGTGTGTGTTTTCATTTACAAATTCTGAAAATTTGACCAGTATTTTTGACAACTAAATAATGCGTTTTGTAAGAAAAACTCTTCAGACTACGAAAATGCTAAGCAAAGTTTTTCTGAAACATGTATTCATTTTTTAGAAAATTGAATTTACTCGTTGTTAACGACGTGAGTAAGTGCAAATGAATGAGAAGTTCAAAAATGAATTCTAAATTTTAGAAACTGTTCTTGAGGATCGTAAGATGATATCAAAAGAAAAAGTCTCATTCTGAAACGAAAGAAGATGTGTGGATAGCAAGTTTTGGTGAGGCTATGTTCAGAGTCAATCTTGGTGAAAATTTCGCCAAAGATAGTCTTAGTCTAGAGTCTATTCTGAAGTTCTTGAACTTTTTCATCATTAGGCTGCAGAGTTATTCGCTAATTATATTCTAATTAATTAACTGAATTTAATTAGGTGTAAGTTGAAAAGGTCAATAAGTTTACATATATTTATCGAAGAACAACCTATTCAAAAACCTAACGCCTATAAAGAATTGAAGTAAAATCGAATATGGTCATGCACCATTTCCACTAATTTCACTTATATATTCTATAACTTCATTCTTATCAATGAAACTATGAGTAGAGAAAACTAAGCGCACATTCCATATTGTTCATGATAAAGTGAATAGGTACTGGAAATAATAAAAAGACCGATAATTTTACTCTAAGGCAAAATCATATAAAATAACTCATGAGCACCAATGAATTCAGCAGTCTTTCTAAAAGCGATTAAATGGTTTCTTCGAATAGAAATATCGTTGTGAAATTCGTCATTAAGAAAAAGTTCGGTTGATTATTTTCACGACTTAACCATTTCCTTTCTAAGTGTAGAACCCTTCCAAAAGGAGAACCGATAACCACTAGCTACATACAAGCCAGAACAACCTTTTGTTTAGTTTAGATTTCAGTGTTAATTTGAATGATTATTCATTTGTTTCTCTCTTACTTCATATTCTTGGGAAAATTTATAATTATCCGAAGCTTTCAAATGTTCGAGATGAGTTGCAAATTCTTCGATAGGTATAGGCGGATAATTTGTTATTGGTTGTGCTCGTCGTATTTCAACAGGTTCACCAGATGAAGCTGGTGAAATAGTTGGTGGTAAAATAGGCATTTGCATTTCCATAGTTAAAACTTTTGGTGTTAAATCAAATGGTACACATTCAGGTGGTGGTGTTAATGATTTTCTTTTTGTTCGATTAAATTTTAATGAAAATAAAATAACAATAATAAGAATAATAAATAATAAAAATATTATTCCAAATATCCATAATAAACTATTAAAGGTTTCTTCATTAGATGTTTGAACTAATTTAGTTTGTACATGTATTTGTATTGTTGGACTTGATGTTGTTAAATTTTCTTTTTTACGATTAAAACCCCATGAAACAAGTTTTATTTTAACTGTACTTAATATTAGTGAATTATTATAAATTTGACCTGAAAATGGTTCCCAATCTCGTGTTTGCTTTCCATCACCTAATATAAACATTTCCGGTAATTGAGATTCATTAAATACTGCCGCAGTATAACAACATTCACGACGATTCTATTAGAAAAAATTACCATAAAACATGAAAGATGATTATAACGCTTTGGCTACAGAAGGGAATATAAGGAAAGACTTTTGCTATCTAAGTGGGTATGCATGATCAACCTCTACTACATACTAGAGACCGAAAATGAATCGAACTCGAACCAGTAAAACTCGGTCTCTGATGCATACCATTGACATGTCCACACATGGCGCTCCCTATGGAGATGTTCAGGTGTATGCTATAGAACTTGATAATGCATACACTGTTAGATAGAAGAAATCTTTTTCTGAAATCCTACAGATATATTCCGATATGTATTCAAAACTTTATAGTTGCTTTTCTTTTAATAAAACTTTACTTCTTGTGGTACATATGATTGATGTGTTGGATAATCATTAAGATGAACAACAATATAATATCGATCAATAGGACCATTTTTAGTTGATGCACGATGCAAACGAAGATAAAATTGTTGATTATTTCCATTGATAACAGTATGCCGATCTTGTTCAGGTCGATCAACATAGGTTGGAGCATCATAATCAGTCGAAAAACGTATTGTTGCTGGTTGACTATGAATTTTTGATGTTGATTGTTCTGATATTGTTATAGTACCAGTTAAATTAAGTGTATAATGTGTATTTGGTGCTAAACCTGTTACTAACCATTCACGTTTACCTTGTGTTGGTGGAATTGTTATAAGACCAGCAGCATTATGATGAGATGTTGAACGTGTTGTACCTAAACTATCGATATAATTTTGTATACCTTTATAATGAACCTAAAAAGAAATAATATTTAAGAGATTAGTTTCTTTTTTTGTTTTGCTTTTTGTATAAAATTTTATTAAACTAACTTCAAGTTTTTGTATTTGTCGATGAGATTCATGATTCGTTTCATTGAAAAAAAATAATAATTTAACACTATTAGATGTTAAATCTGTATAAGTCATATTATATGGACGACTTAATTGATTGTCATATTGAACAACATAGTTTGTACCTAAATACATCATTTAATTCAATGACATTATTCATTATTTATAATATGTCAACATGTACATTGACATGAAATGTAAATAATTTTATTGCCATTTTAACCATAGAATTCGAATGGAATTTAGATTCAAATATTTTCAAGAGTTTTATTTTAGATTTAATACAAACATATGTATAAGAATTAATATGATTAGTCATAGAAAGGCCGAAAAGTGCTTTGGAAAATTATGATTAGCATGACACACTCTTTAGTGCAAGAAATAATACTAATATTTATAAACAAGTCAAGAGAGAAATATTTTTTTTCAATTAAATTTACTTGAACTTTTTCACTATTTCGTAGTTCTTTCAATTTGACCTTCATCCGCAGTATGAATTCAAGCGAACATTAGGTAAAAAAACAAAAGTCATGCATTTTATTGATTCAAATAGTGAAAAACATATTTTGAGATATGCTCTAAATAATGATGTCACTATTTTTGTTATTAATTTTAACTAGACTGAAACAACCGGAATCAACAAATTAGCCTGAAAACACTTGTTTCCGCGTGAAACTCAATTTTTGACAAGATTAAACTACCTGATATGCACGTTCAGTAGATATTCTCAATCTGCATATCGTCTGGTATCGATCATCGAAATAATCTTTTTATTTGAATATGTATGTGATTTTAGCGACAAACATCAAATTTTTTTCTGAAATCATTTTCAAAATGGCTAAGCTCAGTAAAAGGAACGCGCACTATTTAGCGCCAATCAAAAATGTCAAAATGCTCTATCCTCTATTCTCTAATAATCAGGTTTTTTCTTATCAAGGCATTTATTTAAAAAGAAACTGCTAAAGTACAGTATATCCGCAACAATAAACTAAGAACACGAATTCTTTTCAAACTATACATAGCTCATTCAGGTGTGCATAATGCATATAGTCTCAACTCAAACGTGATTTATCAGTTACGAGGTTTCCATTGACAGGTGTTTATCGTCTGAAAGTTTTCTCTAAAGTAGTTTTCTGAGTGATATGCAATCAACGGAAGTTACGGGTCCATCTGCAATGCGAATCCATCTATGCTAGTTAATCTCTGTTGGGTATTATTCATCACTACTGCTACTAGTTACTGGTGCAAACTGATAGAATAATGAGAAAAGCAGAAAAAAATTATATACGCCTAAAGTAAACTTTTATTAGACACGTTATTCGGTATTTTTCAATATTTGTGGTTTCGACATTTTTTCCTTTCAGCCATTCTACAACACAACATAATTATAATCTGAACGTTATGTGAATTCGAATCTAGTTAATTGAATTTTATTTTTCAAACTGAGATTTAGGATTATTATAACGAGTCTTCTTTTTTTTTTGTATTTCATGAGATCTAATCTTTTACTTACGACGATATATATCAGCCACATGAATTTCTGATAAATCACCTTCACGTCTTGTTGTTCCCGATGAATGCAGTGGATCATTGATATTTGTAGTAGAAAATTCTGCACTAACACGTACATTATACATAGTAGCTGACTTTAAACCACTTATAATGGCTGATGTTGCACCAAAATTCATCGGAGAATAAAGTGACCATTGAGTTTCAGGTTTATTTTCAGCTTTATCATTATAATGAACTATATATCGTTCAACAGATGGATAATATATTGGTGACCAAAAAACTTGAATTGTTGTTTCATTTATACGAACAACACGAACATCACGTGGAGATGGATCTAAACATAATAAAAGAAAGCAAAAAAAAAAGAAAAGAAAATTTGAAAATAAAAATTTTTATTTCTAGTTTACAAATAGATGAACCGGGTGTTGGCTGATAATATATACTGGAACGTAGAATAAAGTTATAAATTGGATAATAATTTGTTAAGATAAGTAAAAAAATATAATAAATTTCTATTTGTTTCATTAAAATAATATGTAATTGATGCTATTCTCAATCAAAAAATGTCACGCCCAACTAAGTCAATTTAACATTTGTCCAATGTCGAGAAAGAAACTTTTTTTTTTTCTTCTTTGAACTTATTCTACTCACTAGGATAGTTGATGCTATAGGAAAAAAAAGCAAAAAAAAAGAAGAAAAGGAAGAAAAAAAAGAGATATCCACTTTTCCATTAGACTTTCTTTTGTCTTTTCAGAACAAGCAAATATATATGAAAAGAATATTGTTTGTTAGAAAGAAAAGAGTGACAATAGCGTAGCTGTTATATGAGAAGCTTTAGTCTTGCACACACGTTTGCTTGATTGAGCTATATAATATAATATTTTATTAAACAAACAATTGCAAAAGACCTTCGGCTTCTTTTTTTGCCTTCAATGTCTATCAATGATCCTTTTTTTTTTATTTTCCGTATATAATAAATGAGAAATACTCATCGAAATGTGCGTTTATATTTTTTTTACAACAGGATGCCATTCTGTCAGTGTGAGGAAAAATTTCTTGTATAGAAAAGAACTTACTTAACATATTAATATAAAGTTGATATTCAATTATTGAAGAATTTTGACCATTACGATTTGAACATCGAGCAAAAAAATGTACAGTTGTATTTTGATGAATACTATTTGAATCATTATCATTTATTTGAATATCTAATTTTTTAATAGTATTATCAAATGATTGCATTTGAATTGTTCGATTTATTTGATTGAGTTCAATAATTGTTATATAAATTTTATCGATATCATTTACATTAGATGGTAAATCCCATGTCACACTTAATGTATGAGCATTAACTACGTATGCAGTTAAATTACTTGGAGAAAAATTTCCTAAATACAACAAAAAACTTCAATTGAATTAAAACTTTTGTTTATGTAAATTTATTTTATTTCCAGAGATCCTATTTTGATTTATACTCAAACTTAAATATTATTCTTTTAAGTCTAAATTTATCTCTGTTTTTTTTTTAAGGCAAAATATAATGATTATCTCATCGTAAATGATGATATCATTGTGCGTAGAATAGAAATCAATTACCAGTGATTCTATTCATCACATGATCAATCACGCATCAAAGAATATTCGATAAGGAATTTTAAAATACAAAATATCAACACTTATTAATAGTAAACGTAATATTATAGATTGGCCTAAAAGTCACTTTAATAAAAGAATATTTTCTCTAGAATTAAATTAAATTGATTAATTTTTCAAAAAAAAATTCAATTTTTACACTGAGACTTATATTTTATGATGTCCTATACTGGATAAAGTTTTAGTTATTGATCTTCACAATTGGCGAAAAACTCCAAGAATTAATATTTGTTTTTTTGATAAGTATTCCACTATGAATATAGAAGAACGTTCCAACTGATTTTTCTCCAGGGAAAAAATGGATGAAAGTGTTCAATCGAACCGGAAAAAAGTTTGCTCGTCAAAAAATATCAATTACGACATTCTTCTATTACATTAATGACGAAACCTTTGCGAAAGGAATATTCTTTTCATATTAGAGTCTTCTATTGAAATCAACAATGATACGTTCAACTACAACGTTTTACAATATTTATCTTATTTCAATTTTTTTTCCTCGAGTAATTTTTCAATTCAATCTTACGTTCTTCTATGCAATCAGTTTTACTAATATGAAAATCTTCTTTTTTTTTATCAATCCAACTAATCATTTCAAGTAAATGACCTTATACCTTGACATCGTCATCGTTATCTTTTCCATCAACGAACAAATCCATGTCATCATCTATTTTTTTTTTCCAATGAGAAAATCTCGTAATGTAATTACTAATCAAACCTCTGACAACAAGATCTTCTTATCAATATTATACATTTATTCGATATGTTATGTCAATTCTCAAGCTTTTTTTTTTCTGAACTGATCTATATCGAGTGACTTAAAATTTATCTATATAAATAAAAAACCTATTTGATTAAACCGCTAGACATAGTTCATTGAAATTATTTTTTTAAGAAATATGATTACATAGGAAATCATAGACTAAAATATTTGTCTGAGAGTATAAAATTCAATCATTGTACTGATCAATCAATTGTTCGATTGAATCTTTTCTTTTTGTCAATCATTGTCCATCATCCGGTCAAGTATGCCTAAGGCTAATTTATCCATTTATTTTTTGTTGTTTCTACTACTAATTCAAATCATCAATTCTTTCTTTTGCTTTGCACATCCTTTTATCGATGCTTTTCTTCTTCTATTTCTTAATCTATACTCATGCAATGCTGTTCATACATGATTGAATTTTTACTACAAGAAAATTGTTTTTAGCAAGAAAAAAAAGAAAAGAAAGGAAAGTCGTGTCCCGCCTTTAATATATACTACAATAAATATTTTATAATATGTAACTATATTTATCAAGAAAATGCATGTAAAAGAACCTTGTTACACTCATCAGCACTATTCAAGTGTTGATAGTTGATAAGAATTCATGATCAACTACTACTCATATAGATGATATTTATTATTGTTGAAAGATCATCTGCACTTAGTCAATGAACGCACTGAATCAATGTTGATTTCTTCTTGTTAAATCTATTTAGAAATTTGATCAATAAAGACATGTTGTTTTTTCTCTTTAAGTAAAATAAGAACAAGTTCCATGCATGTCATGTATAGCATACATAATGACAAATCTTAGCATGACAAAATTAGAAATTGACCAGTTGTTCGTGATTGCTATACATATATATTGGTTACTACTATTAGTGACCTATGTCATGTATGTGTATGCGATACAAGAATGATTGAAGAAAAAAAACAGGAAAAAAACGTTTTCCCAGCAGCAGTTCTAGTAAATTAGATACAACATCCTGTTCATAAAAAACATTTCCAGTTGTTCAGCAAATTAATTATATAACTAGCACATATTGATTCATTAAATAACAACCTATCTATGTATCAACCTGAATTTTAGACTCAACTCATTTATCTTCATAGAGGATATGTACAAATCTTCTTTATTTTTTATGGAAATCTATACAATATATAGACAACTATTGATAGATATATAACTCATCAGTATGAGAAAGAAAAAAACTTGTGAATTACATAAGATAGTTTATTATTGATTTTCCTATCGATTTAGTGTTGAATACACACCAGCAAAGTATCTAATTATGATCAATCATTTTTTTATTTTTATACACGCTAAGCAGAGCTTATTTTTTTTTTTTTTATAAACTTACGAGAATCTTCTTTTGGTACTGTAAATATATAAGGTACACTTGGTTTTCCATCACCCTTCTTCGTAAATGCTTTAACTTGTGCATGATATGTTGTACCAGGTATTAAGTTACCTACAATATCCCAATATTGTGTACCAATAGTACCTTGATAATTTCGATGAACAATTGGCAGTTGATTTGAATCAGGTGCAAAAACGATGACATAAAAGCCTTTAATCATTCCACCGAGTAATGCTATATCATCAGGATTATTTGAATCAAGTGGATATATCCATGATATATTTGCTGCTGTTTGATTAATCATATGTGCACTGACGTTGATGGGTGCAACAAGTGGAACTAGAATTGAAAGTAAGATCAATAGTGGCCACATTTGGATAGAAAATATTTGTGCGATGGTCAAAACTCAATGATATAAGACTATTGCTTTTTTCCTTTTCCTTTCTTCCCATCTAAACTTATTTTCCTTTTTGTGTTTCTCTCTGTCTCTCTCTCTCCCCTTCTTTCTCTCTCTCTGTCTTTTCTCATCTCATACTCAATAGAGTACAAAAGCAGTTTATTCTATTTACTTCATCAGTATAAAAGCGTATCTCGTTGCTGAATTATTGTTTCCAGCGATACTCAACTTCAGCTCTTAAAAGCATTCCACGAAAATAGAAATTTTTGTTTTTTATTATTCTTTTTGAGCATTCCAACGATATGCTGTTAATTAAACAGATGAAAACATAACAAGAACTTGATTATGTTCTTATTAATTGTGATATATGTTTATCGAACAGGATCATTCTTTGTCTATCGGATGATCATCTTTCATGGAACACGACAAAGATCAATGGCTATTGTCATTTAAGATTTTTTGACAGTTTGTTTGCAGTGTAGGAAAAAAGAATTAGTAGATGTTTTTTTAGATCAAACAAAAAGACTATTTGTTCTTTGATACTATTTTATGAATGAGTGAAATATGAGACAATCAACCTTGAATGTGCCATCTTCCGCCACAAATATACGTGTCTTACATGCAATTCAATCAGGCATAACTGACACATCTTTTTTTGTGCTTCCTTCTATTAATAGTTTCATAAACCTTGCCATTACTAAACTCATTTGTCGGTTGTATAATCAAACCTTCTAATATCTATGTTGATTCTCTTCTCTGGTTTTTTCTTGTTCTACATGATGCCGTAGCTTAGCTTGAATCGACTCGGTGTAATTGAAAAAAAAAGAAGTTAAATGATGATGATGATGATGATGACAACTAGAATATATGTATTCTTTTGGGAATATATTTTTCCTACTTTAAAGAAATGCCTTATGTTCACAGTAGGTCTCTTCGTCTAGTTTTCTTATTGCTAGAAAAGTCACGCACATATATTCATAAAAATATATGGCAAAATGATCTAACGAAGCAAGTTATATTACTTTTTAATAGAATTGAGTATGTTCGTTTCATGTATACTAGACTTTGTCTTGATCACATCAGTGTTCATTCTATGCATTAATTTCATTTTCTTGTGACTTGTTACTTATAAATAATTAAAGAAATTTTTACGAGCTTCAAAGAACATCTGTAGAAGTTTTTCGACGCTGCGTATTTTGAATAGTCACTAAGGACTAGACGATGAAAATAATATTTCTAGCAAATTTTTTCGCATGTTATAACATGGAAATAAACCACTCTAGTCGTTTTATTGACTAGATTACGAAAAAAACAAACAGATCAGTTTCCTTCTGACAAATATTTCGTTCAGTTTTTATTCTTAAAATAAAATCTTTACTGAAGAATGATTTATGACAGATAATTTCAAGGGAATAGAAATGACAAAAATTGAGAATAGTTTCTAAGCATTATGAGCTAAGCTTCTCCCAGACCTTCCTAAATCGTAGAAAAAATTCTGAATTTCTATATTTTTTTTCATAGATTGTAGCTTTTGTCAGTTTGACGATAACTTCGAAATTAATTCTTTTGCAGTAATCAATATATCTCCATTGTACTGAGTTTTGAGACTACTAAAATTACGTGCTTTTTGAATCTAAAAAGTCTTTTCAAACTAAACTGAACAGATTGTTTTACTAAAAGAAACCATATGAATAAACAATGGCATCAAGTTTTAGAAAGAAGTTTTTAACATGATGATTCTAATGTGTTGTGTTGACTTAGATTTAGCTGTGAATGGTAAGTGTCGAGGATTCGAGAACGACTATAAGGGAATTCGAAGAAAAAATAACAATATTACTAAGAATTTTTTGATAAAATACTGATAGAGCAAAACATATTTCAATAAAAAGAGACAAATTATGTATTGAAACGTCAAAAATACTACTTTACGAACAAAAATTCTGATTTGACTGTCCTTCTATGAACTTTCACAAGTATTTATTAGTTATAAAAAGTCTGAATAAAACATTAGAATGCTTAAATCATAAGCCCATATTATTGCTTTAATATTATTGGATCATTTTCATTTTGTATGACATTTTCTAACTGACTAGCTTTTCAACTTCACAATAAGAAACACTGTTATTATTTCAGTATCTTTGTTCAGTATAACTTATAATTATGCGCGACTTAAAATAAAAAAATAATTTAGACGTTTTTTCTTCTATGTAAGATGTAATCAAAAAAGATTACTTTTTTTATCCGCAAGGCAAATAAAGTAAATATTCTCCATGCAAAAAAACTCTCGACTAGTTTTCATTATTCAAAAAAAAATATTTATATATACGGTAGTTATTTTATATTATAAACACAGTTTTCATTTTCATTTATCAAACATGATAACTATTTCTATATTGTCATTGATTCGATCAATATTTGACATGTGTACATATGTCAAAGGATTAATTTATTGTATTTCTCTCACATGTCAATCGATGTGATTGCTAAGAAGACTGAAGTCGAATGAAGATGATAATTATGATGAATAATAAAAAGAATGAAATTACTTTTCAATTATACCTATGATGGATTAGGTGTTAAGACAAATGATAAAGCACCATTCATATTTCATTCATAGTCATTTTTTTCAATAGAACAAAAGAATATGTTATAGATACTATTCAAAAATAATGAGTTATGATAATCAGTTCTCTTCTTCTTTTTTTTCTTCGAAGCATATATATTAAAATTTAAAAAGCAACTTTCTTATTTTATATTTAAGTTTATTCTTATTTAATCGTAATTGCCTATCTCGTTAATAAATGCCCGCTAAATGTGACAGTTTAGTAATAATACTAAGAAATCATGAAAAAAAAAATATTCTTTTCCATTGTGAATCATAATTACTAACAGGATCTAATTCTATTGCTAATCATTGAAAACCCTAGTGGTCAATGCCGGAAATAAATTCTAATTACAATTGTGCTAAACGTATTCATGTCTAATAAATTATATACTAATGTAAAATGTCAGGTTTCTTGTTCAAAAAGCTAACAAAGACTCTAACAGATGTTTTACGTTTCAAATATCATTGTTACAAATATAATCATTCAAAATTTATGATGAATTAAATATTCTTAAACGAGATATTTCATTTTCTTTTCTTTTTTTATTTTATCACGCACATCTATGTTCATTTATTATTTATATTTCGATATAACTTTATGAGTAATAATGAACAGGAAGTTACCTGTTTCATCTGTTATAGCTTCAATACGTGTTGATGGTCCAGATGAATCTGTATATGATGAATTTATATGAGCTTGTAAAATAATTTCATATTTTGTTATAGGACGAAGTTCATTTAAAATTATTTGTGTAGTATTTGTTTGTCGTACAGTCCATGATTGATTTGAATTTATTGGACGATATTTTATTATATAACCATGTATTGATGTTAAACGATCGGGTTTAGTCCATGATAACCGAATAAAATCTTTATCTGTGGATACTATACGTATATTAGTTGGAATTTGTGCAAAATTATTTGGTATAAAAATGAATATTGTATAGAAAACAATAATATAAATCATGGAAATTTGTTAATTATTTATATTAATTGAAAATAATCGGTTATCTACTGATCTAGTTGATCAAATAAACAACAAGCAGACAAATAGCCAAACTGGACAGTTGTTCGATAGTGTGAAAGAAAAACGAAGAATTCTGTTTTTTTTTTTTTGTCTTCTTTTTCTGACACTATATAGAATAGAAGAAGAAAAGGAAATAGAGAATGGAAAAAGAGCGAGAAACACGACCTCGATCATCATCATCATCGTCTATTTGGCCCAAAGAGAAAAAGAAAACGAGAAATATATTGTTTGAACATGATTGTATTGTTCTCCATGTACATTGTATAGATTGAGAATGGACGACGAAAAAAAAACGAGAGAACGGATAAAAAAAAAACGACAGACATAAGAAATAGATCATGCCGACCGATGGTCGCCTAATGACTTCACCATTATTCATTTCATCTTTCTGACTGTCATTTATCTTCACACATTGCTTGATCAATTGTACTTTTGTCTATTATCCACAAGGAATTGTTTTTTTTTCTATATATAAACTATAAACAGTTGGGTGTGACGCAAACAATAGATAGCCTTTTATGATAGAACTGTTCTAATCAGGCGATAAAAATGTCTTTTGTGATAATCACATGTTACACAGACATGAATTTATTGGTCGTCTAGCACTTGCATTTCTATACTTAACTGTACAACATACATCATAATAATATACAGAAAAGAAACTAGCTAAATTAACTTTCTCATTCGTTGTATAACTTGTCTTTGTCTATGATCGATCAACTGTACCACATTTATTATTATTCCAGTAATTCTTCTCTTTCACACAACCTTTTCTTTATTTTTTACTATTATCGATACAGATAATTATCGGAATACAATCTGAAAAAGAAAACGTTACTTATTCTTTCTTTAAGATAAATCAAGAGATAATCCAACAAGAAACAGACTAGCCAATTGATTTCTGTATATATATATATGTATTGATTACCACATGCAAAGATCAAACAAGCAAATTCTCATGTATCATAGACAATGATATGTATATATATATATATATATGCTCTTATGAACAACAGATAAGATGGATAGGAATCATCCTTGACAGTCAATTTCTATCATAACATCAATCGATCACGATTTCTGACAAAAAAAGATTTTTGTTATTCTTACCAGATTTTCTTGTAAACACACAGTAAATAGGTGAAAGTGTCATGAATAATTGATTTTGATTTTGGTCAATAATAGATAAATGTAAACGTAAAATATGATATTGATTATAATTTAAATTTAGTAAAGAAATATTGAATTCATATTTCAATAAATTATCTGTTGATTGATGACTAATGGAAAGTAAATCAATTGGTATTATTAACAATCGAATAAAATCATTATTATTTTGTGTTAAATCCGAATAATAAAGAAGATATTTTTCAACATATAAATGAGATTTATAATCAATAGACCATTGAAGAGTTAATAGTTGAGTTTGATTATTTGAAAAACATTGAAATTTATTAATTGTTGATATGAAACGATTATTTGATAAACTATTATTAATTATATGAAAATCACTTAATATTAAACCTTTTGCATTGACACTAGCAACACGAATAAATAGTTGAAAATTAGTAGATATTGGCAATGAAATAATATGAAATGGATATGTACGAATGATAGTATAAGACCATTGAGAGAATGGAATGAACGTATTCATTGTATAGTAAAGAATGTAATACTAAAACAGTAGATAAACATTTAACACATAATATACGGCTTATCGATTCTTAATGATCAACTATGCTAGATAATTCGGCAGTAAACATAGACGAAATAGTTCTCGGAATCAAAGTCAAAAAGGCTATATAGACTATAGTCTATTTGATTGACATCATTCTTGGCCAGAAAAAATAATCCATGAGAGAATTTAAAGATTTTATTGAGAAAGTGTTAGCGAAATCTCAGTGGGATTACAAATATGAAACATGATAAAGCTATTTCGGTGGTAAATAAGAAAATTATTACAAAAGGTCGTTTAGATTTATAATGAAAAGGAAGTGTTAATTGTAATGTGTCATCATATGTTGACGAGGGGAGTGAGAACAGTAGACATTTTTTTGTTTTTATTTCCTTTTTGATAATCGGTTTATTTTGAAAATTACTCAACGTATTGTATTTTGAACAGAAATATCTATAATTATAAAACAAATTACATTTATATCAGTTTTACCTAAAGATGAGATTTTCGACTATCGTTGTTATGTTAAAAAAATTTACAAATAAAAAACTATTAGTGTAATCTCTAGCGAGATTAAAATGTGGAACGTGATGCAGTTGTTCTTGCTAATCGCAGTGAGATTGTTTTATTCTATCTATTTTGGGACACATTTCTTCACTATACTTTTACTTAATCTTCAAGAAATGTAATAACGATGCAGGCCACATATTGTAAAGTGACATTATTGATATACTGTTAATCATGTATCGTTGCTAAGGTGTCTGTTTCAACATTCCTTTTTGATTATGTTTCAGAACAAATTTATTTAAAGTTGAACTTTAGACTTTTCAAATAATTCAACATTGATTATATCCTATTTTTGGATTAATCAAAACAAAATTTTGCCAAACGTTCTTAAAATTTCATGAGAGTAAAATATTTGATACTTGTCAACTTTGTATTAAGAGCCGCCATGGTTGAATGGCTAAAGTCGTTCGACATGTATTCCCATGGTACTGTGTGTAAATCTCAGTACCATCAACTATGGAATGGCTTTGGATAAGTCACTAACGCCTGTTTGTCTTAAATCACCTGTTCAATAGCATAATGATTATGCTGTGACATACATCTGCTCTTATGACTAGTATATGATTAGTATATTACAAGGACACAATTTTTCGCAATCGAACCTGAATAACTGTACTCGATACTCGATTGAGGCTAATCGACATACGGCATATACTGATTATTTGCGGTTTGTTTAACCTTCTACNCTGTGTGTAAATCTCAGTACCATCAACTATGGAATGGCTTTGGATAAGTCACTAACGCCTGTTTGTCTTAAATCACCTGTTCAATAGTATGATGATTATGTTGTGACATACATCTGCTCTTATGACTAGTATATGATTAGTATATTACAAGGACACAATTTTTCGCAATCAAACCTGAATAACTGTACTCGATACCCGATTGAGGCTAATCGACATACGGCATATACTGATTATTTGCGGTTTGTTTAACCTTCTACCCATGATAGGGCCTAAAGGACATAGTACTGATTACAAGTAACTTCATGAAGAAGAAATGCAATTAAAGCAAAGAACAAACATATAGTAACATGAAACAATGAGCACAGATAATACGTGTCACAAAAGATTGGTTTACAGAATCGAACCACCTTGATATACAAGCAAAATGCTTAGATCATCAACGAACGAGTAGGTTGAGACGATTAGAACAAAACAGAATTATACAAACATAATGATGATTCTCGAGAGACAAACATGTTGCTATTCCATCATTCTTCCTACATTCAACAAATACTTTCACAGTCACAGCAGAATTTTCAAAGTTTTTATTTTATATGAAAAGTATACTATTTCATTTCTTGTATAAACAGCAACAAAAAATCAAGTGATTCTGAATTCACTTGATATTTTTCTATTTCTAAAATCAGATTCATTTCGCTTAGTATACATTTGGCTGTTTCTAATGATGCTGTAATCAAGCGTCTCGTTGTTTTCCTCTTCATTTATTCAGTTACTTTATCATATGATTCATCGTCATTTGTAGACGAATTTTCATCAAAAGCGAATTCTTTTAGTAAAATAATATTGTTTTTGAATTTTGTGACCTGTTCGAAAGTAACAGAAATTACTCATTCATTATCGAACCGGTTTTCACTCTTATGCTTTCATATAAACTAGTAGTTTGAAAAAATAATAGTATTTTGGAACGTCGGGATCTTATGAATTGTCGGGTAAGGTTTGGATATGAAATCACATCCAGTAACAACTCTGTGTCAGACTGGCTTTCTGTCCAAAGCTAAAGCTAATGTTAATTGTAGAAAGGATACTACACTACTGAATCTGTCACTAGGCGGCACCTTACACTAAAAGGTAGATGTATTCTTTCTTTTTGCAGCTTTCTATTATTATTATATTGCAAAATATAAATCCGAATTGCTTTTTTTGTCTTAATGCTTTTAAATTCGAACACACATATATGCATTTCTTGTTTTCTCTTACAAAATTAGGTCCATTTGTTGAATTAGGTGGTGTCCAATGAACAACAACTGATGTTTCATTCCATACATAACCATGAAGATTTTCGACTTTCTGTGGTACGGTATCAAGTGTGATAATAAAGATTGAATTTGAATAATCTGTTGGTGTACTACCAATAAAACCTTGCAGTCGAAATTCATATTTTGTAAATGGTATAAGATCCATCATCTATTCCATCAAAAAAAAAAAGAAGAAAATAAATCATTCATGATTTATCTTTCTTTCGTTTATTTCTCTTACTTGAAATGTAAAAGTATAATTTGTAGTACGTGGATCAATAAGAACTTGTTCATAATCTTGATTATTAATTATTTCATCTTGTTCATTTATATTTTTATCAAAATTATGTAAACGACGATAATAAATAATAAAATAATTGAAACGATCAAAACGTTCAGTGGATACATACCAACTCAAAATAACACTTCGACTTTTTATATTACTATAATTTAATAATGGTTTGATTTGAGTATCTATAAAAAAAAAAAGAAAAGTATTAAAAAAATACACATATTATTTTCATTCAAATTTAAACCTGATTTAATAACATAAATAAAAATCTTTGTCAAACCATGCTTATTTTTTGCTTCACACATATATTTATTTATACCATGCTGTATATGATTAAATTTAAGAATAGCATGTGATTGATTTCGTGTAAGAAGAATAAAATCAGAAACTGAGATTAAATGAAATAAAATAGGAAAGCAAAAAACATTAATTATCACAACCTCGAATCCAAGCAACATCCGGATTAGGATAACCATCAGCATTACAAACAAGTTCTTTCATATTATTATGTCGAATATCTACATAACTATTATTTTGAAGATTATTGTGTATCCGTGGCAAAACCATGCGTTCTAAATACTACCAAAATTTGTGTACATGCACAAAAACACACATTATTTTGTTGAATCTGTTTTTTTTTTAATTCTTACCAGTGACAATTAATGAACGTCTACTAGAAAATGATCGACCAAAATCATTTGAAGCTATACAAACATAATCACCATCATCGGAATGATCGACTGAAGATATTAACAATGAACCTTAAAGCAAAAAAAACAAGAGCTAGATCTCTTAAAATGAAAATCTCTGTCGAGATAGATAAGAACATTTTTGTTTTATTAATTTAATTAAATAAATTGGTAATCAAATATCTAAAGAAACTGTTTTTCTAACATGAGAAGAATTAAGTTTCGATAGTTAATTTATTATCTACTTGTATTACAATTGTTTGTGATATTTTATTCGTAGAACTACTACATATAGAACACACAGTAATTTTTGAGCATGTCACAATAAGCTGTCACAAATGTCAGATTGATTTGATTTTGCTCGAATCGATTCAACATGATGTTCATCCAACCATTAATTTATTCTCTAATAGTATCTATCTGAGAAGCAATACAACGAAAATAAAAACATTCTATTATCATTTTATGTTCTTGGAATTTTCAAATGCATAGAAATGAACAAAGTATCTAATGCAAAGAATTATTTTAACTTATTTTCTTGTTGAAAAATTTAAGATAACAAAATCTGTTTGATATTAAATAATTTTTGGTAGTTGTTGTCTACAATCTATTATTGTCTATATGATTTATTCCTTATCCTAGTTCAGTAGGCAATGTCAATGTAGAAAATGTCTTTTCGAAAATGAGACATTTATCGAATGATTTTTTGCAATTAAATATTAGTGAATTCAATAGCTTCAAAAAAAAAAATTGCTAAGCAAATACCATTCAAACAGCAACTGCAATTACATTCAGAAAAATGATGTACTTAATAAAATATCGATTTTCTTTAGGTATTATTTACTACATATTGAAACTTTGAGAATAAAGAACTCTCATAGAAAGAAGCAACCAGTTTTATAAACCTATAGATATGCGAATAATACACAAAAAAGAAACTTTTCTGTTATCTATATAATACTATTTTATTTGATTTCAGTTTTCATTAAAAAGAACAGAAAAGATTCAAAATGGAATAAACGTTTTGATGAATGATATAATAGAAGATAATATAATTACATACAAAATAACTTCATACTCTGTCTCGAGAATCATATACGTTGTACGAATTTATAGTAGGAGTGAAAAGTTTGGTATAGTTATGTTCCTGACGCTAATAGTTAAGGCACATCAGCACAAACTTTTCCTATTTAAAGAGATACTTTTAATAGATCTAATCACGTTTTGGAAGCAAAATTGTTTCTAGAAAATCAAGAATTACTTTTATCAATTCGATTAGAAACGTTTTAGAAATAAGCTCATATTTCAGAAAGACTTTCAAAGTAGTCAAAAATAAACAAGCGTTTGGTCTGAAAACTTTCTACCAATCAATTATTATAGAACATGTACCGAGGTACGAAAATTTACTTGAATATTTATTTTCTTGAATAATAAATCGATTTCCATCATGTTGAATAAAACGTATTTTTTTCGTTCTCTCCGATGTATTCTGTAAATGTATCCATAAAAAATTAATTGGATACAAACTTTCTATTGATCTACATTCTGTATAAAATACACCATTTAATTGTACTCGTTTACCAAATGATGTTAAATCATTTGCATCAAAAATAAATGGTACATTATAATGCATAGCTAATTTTCCTAATTCGTTTTCATTATAAATTTTCATTGATTGTTCATTTTCATCGATATCATTTACAGGTAATTTAACATCAATCCAACCAATAGATTTTATTTCATATGTTGAATTTATATTAACTTGACATGTATATTTTCCAATAAACATATCAGGTTCTTTAATAACTAATACACTTATTGATGGTCCATAATAAAAGTCAAAACAATCGAAATTTTGAAATAAATGTTTACAATATGTATCTATATCATTATTTGAATCATGTAAAGATTCATAATGCCAACGTATACGTTTAGAATTAATTGAATGTGATGTTTGACAAATGTGATAAATGAAAGCATTAGGTTTATAAATAATAGTTAAATTACGTAAATCACGTGTAAATGATAAAGCTAATGAAGTTCCTTATTGAAAAACAAAAAGAAAACAAGAAAATAAAAGAAGAATTTTGTTTTAATATTTACCTTGAATGAATATCCAAAATTGATAAATAAACCAAATAATAAACATAATTGCATTAATTAACCGTCGACATTACTGTTTACTAAAAATATCGAAAGAAATTTCTTCATATCAAACTTTACTTTCGACTAATCTATTGAAAATAACGATTACAAAAAGACTATTCTTTGATATATAGATTCGATGAACAATCACAGAAAAAAGGATGAAGAAAATGAAATAAATTGATCTTAACTCTTTGTATCTGTAATGAGGAAGGATCAATAAGTGTGAGTGGGAATAAACACATGGGCAATGATAATATCTACTATAGATATTTGTATTAATAAATAGGAACTATTGTCTTGCATTTGAAAATATATACAAATAGTAAAGAAAAACGAGAGAATCAATCGATAAATTGTTAAACAATTACAATCTATATAATGAATGATGTCTATATAATAAATGTTTATAAGAGTTTGCTAAATTTTGTATCTTTGAAATAGGAAAGAAAAAAAAAAGACATGATGATGGTTTATATGATGTCGGCATCAATGAAGATGATGATTTATTTATTCAGTTAATTGAATGCTGACCAATGTTGATTGACTAGAAGACTGACCTTGTCAGAATGATAGACAGTCGATGAGATATATTCAATGTTTCATATAGGTCATTTGTTTCTGTACAATGTCATTGTAATATAATATTGTGAGAAACACCAAGGGAAAAATACCAATTGGCCACTGCTCTATTTATTCCCAGAATGCATATTAACCACATATGAATGAGCGTCTGATTTTCTGTATTTTGTTTATATATATGAACAATGTAGCAGAAAGAAGAAAAAAGAAGTCTCGTCTTTCTGTTGCTTTTTTTTTCTCTTGTTGTTGTTGCGATTTTTTGGAATCGATGTTCACATCTTCTCTTCTCTTGTCTCTTTCGTCTTAAACAAATCAGTAAGCGAAGAAGAGGTTTGTCATTTTGATTATTATCTTTCCTCTTTCTTTTCGACAGAAGAGAGAGAAAAAAAATGCATTCGATTAGTACTTGGAAATAACAAACTGATAGAATTAATACAAAGAAAATGACTAAAAAACTAAGAAAACAAGAACTTTAGTACCCAATGGAAAACATACATGATTCTTCGCTATTACACATCGTCTTGATAATCTTGTTAGTTTTCACAGAACAGAATTCTTAATTCATGCATTACAGATTATTTTTCAAATTTTGACACAATGAGACAACAGTCATAATATATAACGATATGCGCACAATACACATAAATTGAGTATCAAAATAGTATTGTATAAATTATACGTTATAGAGAAAGAATATAGAGTAAAGCAGTTTAAATATTAGCTTCTAAAAAGTTGATAATCAATGATGTTGAATACGAGAAACAAACAGTCCTGATTATTTTTTACTATTATTTCGTCATGTAATCATCAATTTACATTATCACAAAAGTTGTCCAGTCATAACGTTCTAATTTGTACTAGACAAAAACATATATTCTAACTGTGAAATATAATATAGATAGACTCTTCTGAGAGAGAGAGAAACCTGATGTATCATCATATACAATTCAACCATAAATCCTTACCGTTCATAAAAACTAGTGAATAAACATTATGTTGATTTCTCAAGGGGATCATTGTTTTCTTTGGTTTATACTGGTTGAAATTTTGACAAGTACATGTTAGATCGATGTATGTGATGCATACAAGTAAAATTTTATTTCTATTAAATCAATTTTTCAGAAGAAAAAAAAGAAGCATACTTTCTTCTTTTTCCCCTGAATAAAAATTGCTACATATTATCATAATAATTTATATTGAATCGAAAAAAGAAATGTTTGCATATATATCTGAACATGTGCAATAATATAAATTGATGATTAGATTCTGTAAGGCTTCGTATACATTGGCGTTCAAGTAAATAGAGAATCCAATGACGATGATAGTAGTCAGTCAGTGCCTGCAAGCGAAACACGATAAATATTTAATGCTACAGTGATTTTAATTATTGGATAAATATGCATTATGCTATGTTTCCTCTAACTTGAAATCAATGTAACCACATGGTTTACAATACGTACGTATTTTTCTTATCATTAACTATTTATTTTAATCAATGACGATTGACTGTTCATTTTGTTTTGCAAGTCAAAAGAACTTGTATTAAAAATATATTGAACGTGTCCAAATGAAATTATCACTCTCATTACCAAATCAAACGAATTTAAAGTATGAATTTACTTATGACAAGTTTGAATCTGGATATTCAATTGTTGTCTGAGGAATATGTTAATTCAAGAACTACTTACATTAGGCTTTTTATTACTACCAACATAAGATTTTTCACAAAAAAATCGATTTTTAAAATCTTGCTGAAATTTATTGCTGATGCTGACATAAGAACCGCATTACTCAGGTTCAAGAAAATGATGGAAACTGCCGCGGGCATTTATTAATGTAAAAAAAAAAACTGTTCGTAAAAGCGAATGATGGACTACGACAAAGTACAATGAAACTTAATATAATAATACGGCCCAAGTGAATATACTGAATTCATGGTACCTATATACTAGGTCAGCAACCCACACTCACACCCTTCAATCGGATATCTGACAAAAGTATCCAAGGTCAATTGCGAAAAGTCGTAACGACTACTGGAATTCAATGAAATACTGAATATTTTCTTTGCATTCGATATATTTATTCTATTCCATTTTTTGAGAAAAAATAAAGAAAAAAAAAGGAAAGCATACAAGTACATAAGAAAAATAAACAGATACAATTCACTAATAAGAAAAAAATGACTATACCTAATGATTATAAAAAAAAAAAAGAAAACAGGTCACGTATATATCTATCTGATTCGATTGCACAGAAAAATACAGATATCATCATCAATGATGATTGAATCACAAACAGAACAAAAAGAATCATTATCATTCTAATGATTCATTTGCTAACTTATGTATAAGTGTTCGTTGTTGTATACAATATGAACTAACTTTTAATAATTGTTCATTGTCATAACGTTTAACAAGTATTTCATATTCTTTTGAACTATTACCAGATAAATAGTTATTAATACATCGTGCTAGAATCTGAATACCATTTGATAATGATTGAAGTGTTTTATATGGTGAACGAATTTGTAAATCTTGAGGCCAACATTGTTCAAATGTTGATGATGACTGATTTTGATTAAGAATATAACGTGCAATATATGTTGCGCTAGCAGCAACAAGTGATGGTAATAAGTCAATACAAGATACATCAAGTAATGACATATCAATTAGATATTTGCCAATAGCATGTTGTTCATCACTAGCACTTGAAATAAATGAAAAACGACGAAGAAATTGAAGACTAAAATTTTCAATATAAAGATTATTTTAGTTTTAAATAGCATTTTTATACCTTGTAGGTCGATTAAGTTCAAATCGTAATTCATGAAGAATTTTCTTTTCCATTTTTTTTACTTGATCACTTGTATATGTATGATCAGTAACATAAACAAGTTCATCAACAGGTGGATGATGAGTTTCCTATTAATATGATATAATGAATTTTTTAGTTATATTAAACTAAAAATAATTTATCTTAGATTGATGTGATATCAACAAGTCTACAAAATTGATTTTTCAATCAGTAATCTAATGAAGAGTCAAGCAAATTCTTTTATCTTTCTTTATATCGTTCGTCAGATATGAATAAAATAAAAACTTCTGTCAAATAGATACTAAATCCCTCTTACAAATTTATACGCTGCGACATAGTAAAAAACACAGGGCCTTCTATTGCAGTAAGAGATTCAGTCAATATGCATTGCATATCAAATGGTTTTTAATTTTTACTATTATAGAGGAGAGAGTTACCGTATACGTACGAGTCACGTTAGGTCTAAATATTTGGTAGTCAATACGAAAGTACAAGACACTTTTCTTCATTATTTTTATTCGGTGAATGACACACTATATATTTCTTCGGCTATCTTATAAAAATTCAATTATAACTAGTACTTACTTCTAGAATAGTACCTATTGGGTCGATCTCAATGAATAAAAAATATCCAGACTGAAAACTGTCTTACTCGCATATCTCATCAGATGTAGGAAGCTACGAATCCATATTTTTCAGCACTTGGATCCAAGTTTTAGCTATTTATGGACTACTCCCAAAAAGTCAACGTACATCTACTTCTTGTTGTTCACTTTTCCATCACTCGATGCTTAATAAATTAAGGCCTTTCGCTTACTAAAACAATATCGTCTCATAGCCATGTTCCTGATGGAATATGATCGTTTGTTCATCTGAACTTTTTGCCTATAAATGGATCTATTGATTCTGAGTCTATCATGAAAATTTCAACTAAATCAGATGGTTCCTTCTCAATATATTCAACATTGAAGAGAAGTTGGTTTTATGACTTTTTTGTGGCATATGATTTCTTTTTGAATATTCTCAGGATCCAGAGCCTTATTTATAGACAAAAGTTCGGATGAAAAATCATAGCTTTTTGATTTTTCTATGAATACTTTGCGATCAGCCGAAAACCCAATAAAACGATTCTAACTCAATAAAGAACATCATCTATGAAAAGAAATTTTGTCAGAATTTTTTTAATCTCACTGTGTCTTACTCGTGGGCACAATATCACTTCAATCGACTAATTATCAAAATGTCACGCATTTATTTGAATGAAAAAACTCTTTAACTTACTTCAACTTTCGCTGCAATAAGAAATGTAGCTACAGCAATTAATTGTAAATTTTTTTGTCTTACTAATTCTTTTTTTCCACATGTGGATGTAATACATTGTTGAAGAAAACGATCAAATAAACCAATACAACTAAAAATATAAATTTTATTTAAAAAACAAAAATAATCTTAAATCATTACAGATGCATAGCATCTTGTGATAGATGAAATCTTGCGTAAAATAATTGTATGATCCATCCAACAACAATTAATCGATGTTTAGCTGTAAGTTTCCATGGTCGTATAGCACTTCCATTAGCTATTGTTATTATTGTTGATGATGGATTAGTTAAAAATGATGAATGAATAGGATATTTTTTTTCTAAAGTATATAATAAATTCATTATATCAACAATATAATCCATGGCATATGATGGATCAATAGGCTCATAATCTTCATCTAACGTTGAACTTTCGTTTGTATACGGTAATTCAATTTGTTCGATATTAATTTGTTTGGCAAGATAATTATTAAGTAATGGAATTGAATCTTTTTTATATGTTGTTAGACATTTTGATGAACAATTTTCTTTATTATTTGATTCAATAAGATCGATTTTTTTAACATTTTCAGTTAATGAAGCAACAATCTTTATAAAAGAAAAATTTATATCGAAAAAAAAAAAAAGGAAACGAAGAGAGAACTTACAACTTGTTTTAATGTTTCTCTATCACCTATTGAATTATCTAATGACGAACTTGATACAATAGCAGCTAATTTATTAAATGATTTTCGTCGTTTAAATAAAGCATTATTTTTTGATATTGTACCCATACGCTTTGTAAGACCAGTTGCTCGTAAATCATTTTCAGATTTATTTTGTTGATTATTTTGAATTGATTTTAATTTATTTGTAATTGTTGTTGAAGAAATCAATATTGAACCTCGAATTTTTGATTGACGTGCTAATGAAGCTTTCGTTGGACGAGACATATGAACTGTTGGACCTTTGACTGATGGACGCATGATGAAAATGAAATGAAAATTTTTACTTGAAAAGATAGTTCGACGATTTTGAATGATTAAAATCGGCAGGCGCGAACAAAGAATATAGAAATAAAATGATTTGATTTTTAATATAAATGAAATTTTTTATTATTAGTTTTTCATCATTTAAATTTTTGAGAATAGAAAAAAAATTAAAGAAAATTTTCATAATGCATAAATGTTTTTGTAACAAAACGGAGGTTAAAAGCTTACAACAAATCATGTAATAAAAACCAATGAAAAGCTTTTCTTACTATTCCAACATATCCATATAGCGACATTGATGTTATTCAGTCATTTACTTTTTTTCTTGTTTCGTATCAACAATCAATTACGAGGTTATTTTTTTTTTAAATTTTAGATATCTCGCATTTTTGACTGATCAACAATGCGAGCTAAGTGGCGTAAGAAACGTATGCGTCGTTTGAAACGTAAACGCCGACGTAAGTTTAGATAAAAAAATAATTTATTTATTTGATAAAATTGTTGTTATTGTTTTTTTTTTTTTTTGTTCCTAGGTATGCGTGAGCGTTCGAAATAAACTATTTCATCCAAATGGAAACAAAATAATGGCAACCAATCAACGATATGATTTCAATCTCGTCGATGAACTATGTTTTGTTTTTGTTTGTTGTATGTGATTTTGTTTCACGGATGATTGAAAAATACAAGAATAAAAAACTAACACGAAAAGAAACAACTGTGAAGTTGAAAAAAAAAGTTTATTTAAACTAAATATGAAGAACTTTTTGTTAAATAAAAATTCTAAGTTAAATTGCCATGAATTGTAACCATAGTGAGGCACGAAAAGGATTTGTATTGATTATGAAAAAAAAAAATCGCAGATTCGAGTCCATCATTAGTAATGAATAAAATAAAGATCTTGTCTTGTTAAGTTATTTTTTTCTAATGATATGCGTCTTTGAGGTTGATTTTGCTTTTAGAAATATTTACTGTGATACTTGATAGAATTTTATGAAAAATTTAATCTTATTAATGTTTACATGAAATGATGAAGATGAATACAAAATAGAAACTTTGAGAATTGATTGTACTATATTATTTTGTGAAGTTTTACTTAGATATTGTGCTAGACCAGAAATGATGGAATTACTTGTACAATCAAATACATTTTGAGTTGGTATTGTATCTTAAACTCCCCCCCCCCCCCCCCCCCCAGCATAAAAAGCCAGGGGGCTCTATCATCGGAATTCACCACACCTGTCCCAAGGTGCGCTTCTCTGGGGGCCTAGTTCGTGGTCCGCTTTGCAAAAAAG